CTCCACCGGAAATTCCCTCTGCCCCTACCGTACTCCAGCTTAGCAGTTTCCATTGCCTGTCCAGGGTTGAGCCCTGGGATTTGACGGCGAACTTAAAAAGCCACCTACAGACGCTTTACGCCCAATCATTCCAGATAACGCTTGCATCCTCTGTCTTACCGCGGTTGCTGGCACAGAGTTAGCCGATGCTTATTCCCCAGATACCGTCATTGCTTCTTCTCCGGGAAAAGAAGTTCATGACCCGTGGGCCTTCTACCTCCACGCGGCATTGCTCCGTCAGGCTTTCGCCCATTGCGGAAAATTCCCCACTGCTGCCTCCCGTAGGAGTCTGGGCCGTGTCTCAGTCCCAGTGTGGCTGATCATCCTCTCGGACCAGCTACTGATAATCGCCTTGGTAAGCTATTGCCTCACCAACTAGCTAATCAGATGTGAGCCCCTCCTCGGGCGGATTCCTCCTTTTGCTCCTCAGCCTACGGGGTATTAGCATCCGTCTTGCAAATAAGGCATATCCTGTCTAGACAAAATCTTTGAAACGATACCCTTATTTCCATGTCTCCCGGCCACTTTATCGCCTACTTTAATTTCACGTTTCTGTAATATATATATACCAATCATTTCTGGATTATAACTGGAACCCCCTTTTTTTTGGATCCATCTCACATCAATAACTCGACCCCTACCGCCTATAGGTAGTTTTAGACAAGTTTCCTTTGAGGTGGATACCTGAATGCCAAGTATAGCTCGTAATAATCTATCTTCCGGGGAATACGAGGATTCTTTCGCCATTTGAGGCGTTAATTTACCCACTAAAATATCGCCCGTTTCTACCCAAGATCCCAGGATCACAATTCCATTTTTGTCTAAATTTCGGAGTAAATGGGCTTCTAGGTGCGGAATTTGATTAGTGATTCTTTCAGAACCCTGGCTTGTCATATGAGTTTGAATTTCATATTTCTGTATGTGAAAAGAAGTAAAAATATCTTCATAGACCAAACGCTCACTAATGAGTACAGCATCCTCAGAATTGTAACCTTCCCATGGCATATAAGCTACAAATACGTTTTTTCCCAAAGCGAGTTAGCCACCAACTGTAGAGGCACCATGCGCTAAAATTTGTCCCCTTTTTATGTATTTACCTTGCTGAACCTGGGGTTTTTGATGCATGCAAGTATTTTTGTTGGAACGTTGATATATAGTTAATGGAATGCTTAGAGTAACCCCATTTCCAACAAAAATGATCTTGTCAGTATCGGGATAAATGACGTTTCCCTCGTATTCGGCTATAGCAGAAACCCCAGAATCTAAAGCAACTTGGCGTTCCAATCCAGTTCCAACAATGCATTTTTCGGATCGAGAAAGCGGAACTGCTTGACATTGCATATTAGAACTCATTAAAGCTCGATTCGCATCATTATGCTCGATAAAAGGAATGAGGGAAGCTCCAATAGAAAAATATTGGAAGGGACAAATACCTCGAAGATGAACCTGTTCCCATGCAATAGTAAGAAATTCTTGACGGTATCAAGCTGGAACAATCTGTTCTTCCTGAATATCTCGATTTAGTGCCAAAGAATTTCCTGTTGTTACCATATAGTATTCATCTCTATTTGGTGATAAATAAAACATGCGTATTCTTTTGGATCTCTCAGAGATTTACGAAACCAAGAATTGAAAATGCCCATGACGTGTACGTGTAGGATGAACCAAATCCTCATTGAATTTAATTTTTCCATTAGAAGGCGCTCGCACATGTTCCGCAGTACCCCCTGTGAATACTCCACCGGTATGAAAAGTTCTTAATGTTAGTTGAGTACCCGGTTCTCCAATAGATTGACCCGCAATAATACCTACAGCTTCTCCTAATTCCACTAAGTGGCCATGAGTAGGACTTTGGCCATAACATAATCGGCAGATCCAAGATGTATTCCTACAGGTAAAGGGGGTTCGAATAGATATTGGTTGTGTTTGAAAAATTTTGAATCAATTGATAAGTCCAATTCCAATATCTTGATTTCTAACAGCAATGCATTGTGAACCTCTGTATATATCGTCTACTAATACACGACCAATTAATGTTTGTATCAAAATTATTTCCGGCATCATTCCATTCTTGATATTCACCGAAATCCCTTGAATGGTACCGCAATCTGTTCGACGTACAACAATGTGTTGAACCACTTCAACAAGTCTGCGTGTAAGATATCCAGCATCCGATGTTCGTACAGCAGTATCTACAACCCCTTTACGGGCTCCGTAGCAAGAAATGATATATTCTGTTAAAGACAGTCCTTCGCGTAAATTGCTTTGAATAGGTAAATCAATCATTTGCCCTTGTGGATCCGACATTAATCCTCTCATACCTACTAATTGGTGTACTTGAGATGCATTTCCTCTAGCTCCTGAAAAAGACATTATATGGACTGAATTCAAGGGGTCGGTCATCCTAAAATTAGGATTCATTTCTTGTCTCAAATATTCACTAGTAGCATACCATATCTCAATGGATTGTCGTAATTTTTCTACCGCATGTACATTCCCATAATGATGATGTTTTTCCAAAATAAAAATTTGTTGTTCAGCATCTTGAACTAGCCATCCTTTAGAAGGTATTGTTAAAAGATCATCAATTCCTAATGAAATGGATGTAGCCGTAGCTTGACGGAATCCCAGAGTCTTTACTTGATCCAGGATGTGTGATGTATATGCCATTCCGAAGTGGTTTATTAATCTGCTAATAAGTCGTTTAATGGCAGTTCCACCTATCACTTTATTGTGAAAGACTAGATTGGCTCGTTCTGCCATAAGTACCTCCATATTCCACTCAGTGGGATTCGGTTCGACAATGGATTTGAGTCAATGATTGGAAAACTTCCTTTTCTTTATCTTGATTCGCGTAGAAATTTGAAAACTATGATCCTAGTTGAACCACGGAGACCTGAATTCCACACTGGTAGCATAAATTTACTTATCTTACATATCAACCATCTATATGATTAGATATACTGTATGAATAGGTCTGGCAAAAACCTTGTATAGCTTCTTCAATTTCTCGATAAAAAGAAATATGACCAACAGTGGTTCGAATGTATGTATTCTTTCTAATTTTGAGTGAGTTATGAAGATGCAAAATTGTTTTTTTTTTACTTAGTACAACAATTTCATTATTTTTAATTTCATCATCTTCCTTCTACTTGAAAAATTCATAACTTTCACAAAACTGAAAACACAAAAGTTTCACCTTCTGTTTTGCTGATTCAAAGAGACGTAGAACCCTAACTTCATATGCCTTAGCTCGTATGGAAGGAGAAAACCCATAATATAACATTTTTAATTATTTTTTAATTAAAAAATTGAGGTGAGTTTAAATAAACAATGTTAAAGTCACTTTAACGTCACATAAGATGTCTTTATTAATTTATGTAACAAAGCTAACGAAAGTTATGAATGTGAGAAAAAATTAAACTTTAAGGATGAAATTGAATAAAAAAAAGTTAGAAGATAAAATTTAATTTTATCCTTAAGATAGGGGACAAAAAAACTAATTTTATCTTTATAATATTCATAATTATTTATTTTATCAGAAAAATAACATTATGACAATTTAAAATTATTTTAGATTTTAATTGCATATTTATAAACTAAAATAAAGAAAAAATTAAAATAATATGACACAAATAGTAATAAATTATCCCTCTCTCTCTCTCTCTCTATATATATATATATATATATACTTTTTATACAATTTTATTTTGATTAGGTTTTAAATATTATTTTAAAAAATAGGAACTCATTTAATTTATTCTTTAAAAGAAAAAAAATGTTAAAACTAGTTCCTAAATATGTAGTCTATTATTTATTTTTGTCTTTAAAAAAATATTTTAATTAGTTCTTGAATATGTGATCTGATATTTATTTTAGCCTATTATCTATAATTCGTTAATTAACTTTCACATATATGTAAGTTTGGCATATTAAATTTAATGTGACTAAAAAAAATATTTTATTACTAATATTATATTGCATTTAATATTTTAGATTGTAAGAGTTAACTAATTAATTGAGTCATGTAAGTATAAAATTTAGTTGCTTTTGTAATTCTAATTATCAAAAAATCTTTTTAAAGTATAATTATTTTATCATGATAATAGTTTTTTTGAACATTATCATATAATTTATATAACTAATTAAAGAAAATAAATTATTCTTTTTTTATTTTGTATTCTTTTTCCTAGCTCTCTTTAGTAAAATCTCTTTTGTTTTTATTTTAAATAATTTTGTCTTGCATGACTATTATAAAATATTTTTAAAAAAAAATGTTAAAATCATATTTTTTGATATCTTACCGTGAACGAGTGAATCATTAAATGTGCAAACACACTACTTAATATAGTTTAGAATATGATTTTAGTTTGAATATTGAGTTATGATAAATCTAAAATTGTAAATGAAATAACAAGATTTTTTTGGATGATCTCATATAATTTTTATTGATTAATTTTTTTATAATTTATGACATTTAAATAATATCAATTTATATTTTATTAAAGTGACGAGTATATAAAATATTTTAATAAATCATAGACTATATATATATATATATATATATATATAAAAGTAAATTATATACTTCACTTTTGTATTTTATGTTTCTTTCATAAGTAACTTCTTTAAAAATAATTAATTTTTAAATATGTTACAGTTAAATTTTAAAAATATAATGTACAAAAAAGCATTAACATATTTCATTGTTTTTAAAAATTTATAAATTTTAAATAAAAAGTTAAAATAAGTTACAAATTATATATTTAGAGATTAATTTTAATGTTTTTAAAAATTAAATTAAAATAATTTATATTTTTTTTTAAAATTAGAATAAATTATAAATTATACCGAACTAGTTTTAATATTTCGTTGTTTTAGGACTAAATTGAAAGAATCTGTGATATTAAAGATAGCTTAGCTTTCTGTGACCTGATAGAAAAATCTTTGTGAGAGATTCGATGGCGCAGGCAAGCAAAGAGCCTTGCAAGAAAGAGGCTTGTGACATTCAAGCTTGCCTCTCCAAGAACAATTTTCTCCCACAAAAGTACGCACCTTCACCCTATACACCTGCAAAATTTTGTTTCCGATGTTCATATCTGATTGTGTTTTCAATTGAATTTCTCTTTGATTTTTGAGTCGATAATATTTCTGTTCTTATTCTGCCAAGTACCAATTTGGTACCAAATTCCCATCAATTTATTCCTTATGTCCTCCCTGGTTGATGTCTCCTATCACATCATTGATGAGTTTCACCACTGTTTCCATTTTGTTTTGATGATTCTCTCTTCATGCATCATCTTAAAGTTTCGTAGGAGTTATCCAAATAATTTATCTATTGAAGTGTAGGTGTAAACTAGGGCTTGTACAAATTTAAGGGTGCTTGCTTCATTAGTTTGCCTGGAAGAACATTTATGTGATGATCCTACTTTAACCACAAGTTGCAATGAGCACCGCCTTCTTTAACACTGGTTATGGCATGGACTAAATATTATTTATTTATTTTTATTTTTATAAAAACTTAAAGTAAAATGTTCGCTGTCTCATTTTGTTGGTCTCTCTGCTGTGATTTTAAGTATTCTCTCTGTGAGCTTGGAGATTGAAATCCAGTTGAAGGAAAATTCCGACAGACAAAGAATATCAATGAGATGTGTGACGTGCAAAAATGCACTATTCTTGCACGGGTTGTGAAACTATTTCCATTTGGAAGTCCAACCCATATTTGCTTCATTTCATAGTATGGTGTGAGCCATTTAAATGAACAAGCAATATGATCCATAGCTCCTAAGTCTAGGATCCAGCCTCCTAGGGGTTCATTTGAGTGGCACAAACTTCTATGACGGTATTGATTGAGTTCTTCCCAAAGTACGTTAGGCTCTGTAAAATGCTTACTTACTGACAACAATTCCTGCTTAAACGCATACAATTCTTACTGTAATCCCAAGACTCTAACTAGATCTCCCTTAGAAAAATATACTTCGAAGTATTTCCAGACTAATATTGTGTTCCTAATGAAAGCGACATTGTGTGCGATGGAAGGTGAAATTGAGTTAGGAAGCCATGATTTAATCAAGGTGTTACATTTCTCCCATGCCTCATAGTTTGGATTGTTCATTGATGGAACTTAAATTGTATTATCAAGACATTGGAACTTGTGCTTTGATATGAGGGCTCTACACATAGACCTTCTCGAATGGTAATTAGCACCATTGAAGGTGGGGTGACCATAAAGTGGAAGGATTCTCCCTAAGATGAACAAAGAGTTATATGAATATGAATTTCATGCCACTAAAAAGAATTTCCACAGCAGAGTTTGAAATTCAGAGCTCTGATTCTGATACCATTATGAAAACGTGCTTGAAATGAGGGAAATATGAGAATTCCATTTACTGATTTTGTGTATTACATTGGTATGTACATACAGCTATATGTAAAGCTGTGTTTCCCTACTGTATGGCAGTGTTGCCTCTTGCACTAGAGCCTACCATCTAACTACCACGTAACAGATTGGTCCTAACTGTCTAACCGTGAATTTGATGCATGTGCATGCAGTTGTGATTATGTTACATGGGAGGAGGTTGACTCGTGCATATGAGTGATCGTCTGAGGTGGCTGATAACTTGTTTAACCAACTTTTAACATTTGAAATAAAACAGACGACTGAGAAGTTTCTTCATTGGTTTGGCTTTAATGTCATGTAGAAGGAAAATCCCTGCAAAAGGCGTTTTGTTTGCCAAAAGACATTAATATAACAAAATTTATCCTTTACTCGAACTTTTCTTTATTAACAAATTTTGGGTGTAATGTCGTAGAGGTTCATGTTGCTAATTTTCCAATTAAAATTAGAGTTTTAATTCGGTAATGTATGCTAATTTTAATCTCAACCTTGGTATGAATTATCAAAGTGAATCTCTACTTATAGTGGGATGACGATATTAAAAAGACCAATGGGATAACAGTATTAAAAACACCAATAATACTAGACTTAGGTTTTATGTTCTGCAATCTTATTGCGTGTGGTTTGATTTCTAAAATACTGAGTTACTCGTAGAAGTTTCTTATAAAGACAAATCATAATGCCAGGTGCCTTAAAGTCATTGAACTGCTGGACTCCTGTTGCGCAAAATGCGATTATAATTCAACTCACTGTGCTTCCCTCGCCGGACTTTTGAAGCAAAAACCTAGGAGATGAGTTATATTTTCATATTAATGATGATGACGTTGACCGGGATGCATATTCTCGTTTTGTCGATAGCTTACGAGACTCGGCCACTTAATTGGAAGAGTGGTTGAAGTGAGTGAAGAAAAAAAACAAATGAAGGGCTCGCATAAAATACTTCTTTTCTTTAATTTTGTTTTTCAGATTTGAATTATGAAGGGCAAGCATAAATGTTGTTGAATTATGACCAGCTTGACAGAATGACCGGTGCACCCCGGTAGTAATGTACTTCTCTTACAATTGTCATAGGATTATGATATCATAAAATTTAGATATATTTTTGACTGAAAGTAATTATTTATCAATTGCAAGAGTGAAAACTAATATAATTATGACCTGTTGTACTAATGTTTATATTTTTTTGTCAACAACATTTAAATCCTCTAAGTTGTTCTACAATGCACATGTTCAAATGAATCTTACTGTACGGTTAGGAGCACCTCATTAAATTTATTTTGATTGAATTAATTTAATGTAATTGATAATGTTTAATATATACTAATATTTAAATGTTTAAATTTAATTTAAGATATAAAAATAGAAAAATTAAAATAATTTTTATAAATGTAAAAATATCCATTTAGAAAAATATGAACACTTATTTAAAGTAATAAGAGAAAGTTAAATAACAATTTTAATTTTTAAAATTTAAAACAAATTTAACAAAAATATAAAAAAAAATTATCACAACAAGATAATGTATAATTTATACATTTTTTTAATTAATTTTAATATTAAAATATATATGTGGTCATCTATGAAGGAGGAAACATAGCAGCATGACAAATTATTAATTATTGTCATCTTTTATTTATTTTGTTTTTGCGTAAATTATTACTAGTTTAATACATGAATAATGATATCTAAGCACAAAAATTGTTTCATGAAAGTGACGGAAACTGACCCATTCAAGATTATAGTAATTTTTTTTATTAATGCGGCATTTGGATTGACTAATTTTTAAATTTGTTAAAATTACATTATATCTGTACTAAACAGCAATGATGTTAATATACCTATTAATATTTTTCATTTTTAAATTTTTATTAAACTTTGAAATTTTATTTTTGTCTAACTTTTTTTTAAATGAAAGCTAAAATCATTTATTTTAAGACGATTGATATTTATTGACGCTCATTACTTCTTTTTGTAATCTATTTTTAAATTAATTTTATTAATTTTTTAACAAAAATAAAAATTATTTAAGTTTATTTTTTCATATATCAAATGTATATAAAAACTGCATGTATATTTTTTTTATTTAAATTTAATATTTTTTATCTATAAAAATTAGATAGCTCAAATATAGTTGTTCTTGTTGAAAGATAACCGTAGCTAGAAAAGAAATAGTAAACTTTTAAATAATTTTTTATGTTTTATGTTTACATTTTAAGTATAATAACAAATAATTGTTTAGAGTGAAAAACACAAAAATTTAAAATTGAAACCTACAATAGTTGAATGACTGATATATGTATTACTTAATAATTGTCTATACATTTAATTAAAATAAAAAAAAGAGACAAGAAGGAGTTGAATTAAAAGATTTAATTTTTTTTATCACATTTCATATGTAAAAAATAACTTCTTTTTGTTAAATAATTACATTTGAAAGATGACCGACCTACGTAGACGAAGTCCAAAACAATCAAGAAGTTATAAATGAAGGAAATTTTGATCGTGAGAAAGCCATATCAAAGATGGCGCCGAAAAAGAATAAACAGAAGGCAAAGGCGCAATCCGGTCCGAAGCTTCAGATTTCGGCCGAAAATGAGAACCGCCTCCGCCGGCTCTTGCTGAACTCGGCGGCGGCCCGGCCTACCTCTTCACCGGAGACAGCGACGGACGATACCCTAACCAAGGCTCAGAAGGCAAAGAAGCTCAAAGCTGTTTACGATAAACTCTCTTGCGAAGGTTTCACTAATCATCAAATCGAGCTTGCTCTCTCTGCTCTCAGGGTAGGGTACACTGCTTGAAACCCAGCCTATCCTATTAAACGCCATTTGCATTTTTCTTGGACTTTGTTTCATTGTAATTTGTAGGAAGGTGCTACGTTTGAATCAGCTCTTGATTGGTTATGCTTGAATTTGCCTGGGAATGAACTTCCACTCAAGTTTTCTACTGGGACTTCCTCTCATTATAGTGAAGGTGCATTTGTGCTCTCCTTGATTATATAACAATGTTAATTTCATCATCTGTTTGGAATTTTGGTGATTCATCATATACATACAATGTCTTCTTAGGGGGTTCTATTGGTGTCATATTAAATCGAAGGGACAATTCAACTCCATCAGTGGATCCTTCTATTACAACCAAGGAAGAAGCTCTAGAACCTGCAGTGTTAATCAAGAAAAAGTGGTGTGATGATTCTTTAGATTCTTGTCAACTGTCTCAAGCGGATTGGATCAGGCAGTATGTGGAGCAACAGGAAGAGGTAATTTAAGTGCAAGCATCACTGCATATGATTGCTTGAGATAGGTAGTGCCTGAAAACATTAGGTTGTTTTTACAACTAGAAATAGGATTAACCATGTGATAGTATTGAATCACAAGTGTGTACAGATTGCAAGTGTCCTCTACATTTGCAATTGTCAAGTGTTTGCTTCTATCAGATGTTGTCTACTTGTCTTTGGGTGCGAAGGGAGAGCCTTAATTGTTTGGTATTCGCAGGATGAATCCGAGACTTGGGAAGATGAGATTTTTTATGGAGGTAGTGCCACAAAGAAGGTATTTCTCTTTTCTTGAAGTTTAATAATAAATAAATAATTTTGATGTTCACTTCAACCTTTACTTTTCTCCATTATTTTAGTATTATAAATTCAAGTTTTGGCCTGTATTTTTACCTTTATGTTCCTTCTTGTTTTTTAATCATGTTTTGGATTGAAGTTGCTTTTTTGCTTTGATTTCTTATAAGTCATGGAGTTGTCTGTTATTACTTAATTTATTGCAGAACTGCTATTAATAATTTCTACTCTAACCAGTTTAGCTCTGTGTCTTTTCCCATTGGACCTTTGTTAATGCTATTGAATTGATGCAGCATCCTACTTTATGTGCTCTGACTGAAGTTGATTGTGTCCATAGTAAAGTTTTCTGGGTACCATGATCAATTCAAAAATTAATTATAGGTTAACTGTTACTCTTATAGGTCTCCTTTATTTAACAGGACAGGAACTGTTGGTTGGAAAGTTTAATGTCTTTATTTTGTTTGGTCTCTATTAACAAAGTGGTGATGATGGAAATTATTTATTTAATTCTGATGAGTTTATCATTTCTCTTCTATCTTGATAGCCCTGTGAACCTAGGTCTTATGATGTTATTGCTAAGGAGTATCTAGCTGCAAGGTTGGAAGCTACAAAAGCCAAGGAAAAAAGGGACAAGAAACTTCAGGAGCAGGCAGGCCACATCATCCGAAAATTGAAGCAAGAGTTGTCTGCTCTAGGTTAATTTAAATTTCATTTTCTAGTTCAATATTTTTGTGACCTGTAATTTGTCTCATTTGATTGTGCAATACATTTAGCAGGATTATCAGATGACAATTTGGCCTTAGAGCATGAGCATGAAATCAGTTCTAACTTCAAATCTGAGAGAGCATCCATGGGTCATGATCCTTTTGATTCCTTTGAAGAAAAAGCTCCATGTGAAGCTAAAGGATTACCTTCTGATGAAACTGCAGTTGATGGAAGTGATGTGGAGAGCCATAACTTGGTGGAGAGGATGGAAAAAGATTCTGCTCAAGGAGAGGATGGAGAAATTGAGCTTGGTGGTTTCTTCTTGGAGGATGTACCGTCTGATGAAATATTGCCTCCTGATATTTTGAAAGTACAGAAACAAGAAAAAATTAAAAGACTAACTGAGAATAATTTGGATAAATTAGAAGGCATTTGGAAGAAGGTAATTTTGTAGGGCACATTTCGTCTATCTTGATGAAAGGAGTTTAATGTAGTTTATGTGGCTTCCAGTTACTCTTAATATCTCTTTGCTTCATTTGAGTTTGAAGAAACACATTGATTGTATTGGTGGAGAGAGGGAGGGGTGGTTCATGGATGGATATGAGAATGCCTTTATAAAACTAAAATAAAAGTGGAAGGAATATTTTCGTGAATTTGAATATGTTGTTTGCATTTGTGCAGTTTTTTTTAAAAAGGTTTTCCAATTTTGCAAAAGAGTCAAATGCCTTCAAAACCTATATTTATAATGTGGTTTCATTGATTTTCTATTTGTTTAGGAAGATTCCTCAATCTTTACCCTCTCTTTTCTTTATAATTTTTTCTCTTCATCTTAATGAATTTTCTTTCATATAAAAAGGATTTTAAAATAATTGTGTCTCTTGTTTGTTTATGAGCATTGGTTGGATAACATTGTTTATATTTGTGTTTGTTCTTGTGGATATATATGTTGCAATGATCTGAGAATAGTTATTTCCTACCTGTTATAATTTAAATATGGATAGGGGGACCCTCAAAAGATTCCAAAGGCTGTTCTTCATCAGCTATGTCAGAAATCAGGGTGGGAAGCTCCAAAATTCAATAAAATTCTTGGTAGAGGAAAAAGTTTATCCTGTACTGTAAGTATATTACGCAAAGCTAGTGGGAGGGGCAAGAACCGAAAAGCAGGGGGATTGGTCACACTTCAGTTTCCTGATCAGAATGAAACTTTTGAATCTGCTGAGGTGAGTCATCCTTAAGCTCATTATCTCCATGCTTCTGCTAAATAATCTTTGTAGTTAATAAATGATTTGCTAGGTGATTTTTGTAGGTACTTGCATTTGATCACAACTTATTTTGTTGGGCATCTGATAGAAATTGGGTATCTTATTGAGAAGAAATAGGGATAAATCCCAATTACAAAGATAGAGCACTGCAGTTTGAGGGACTGCACCTCTTGAGCCAAAGGCCCTAACTTTCTCACAATTTACCTCTCCCTCTCAAGTCTCAGCCCCTTATTTTAACACCACCTTACACTTTCATCCAGGCTTGGGACTTGCGATGTAAAATTTTTAACTAAGTACAACATAGTTAAATCTTCTGAAAAAATAAACTCTGGATTGTAAAACCTCTTTCTAAGGTGCAATTAATGTGTCACTGCTCATGCTTGATTTTTTTTTTGTCAATTATGGTCAAATGATATGTGAACAAATTCTTGTTGCATGTCCATTCATTGTTTGCAATTTTGACTTGATTGCAGGATGCACAGAATAAAGTGGCAGCATATGCTTTGTACAAATTGTTTCCTGATGTCCCAGTTCATCTCCCAATTGCTGAGCCTTATGCATTGCTTGTTATGAAGTGGATGGAAGGTTACTTTTTTTTTAACTATTTGTAAATTTGATTTAAAATAGAATATTATGGCATCATTTGATCCATGTTGTTGACCTACCTATTGGGAAAATGCTTAGTTGTTGTATAAATTTTATTAAATGAAAATCTTGATTCTTACCATTCTTTACTGCAGTTATCATGTTGTTGGTGTAAATATTTTAACCCATTGCATATGAACTTCTGCTTGAAGATATGTCATTTCTAAATTTTCAGGGGAATCGTTAACCAATCTAGAAGACAGTGAGGAAGCTCATAGGTCTGGTTTTGTGGATTCATTATTAAATGATGATGGTTCTGGTGCAACTGCATCTGTTGGTGTTGCAGATTATAAATTTCCACAAAACTTTGGTAGATTCCATGAAAATAAAAGTTCAATCATTGCTAGTCATCAGCAATTTGTTCAGAGTAGGTTCATCCATTTCTTATTTAGTTTAATATGGATTTGGAATCTTATTTCCATTCTTTTCTGCTAGTTTTTGGTAATGTTTATTCAAATTGTCAAACCCATTTCTTGTAATGTTGAAAATATTAAGATTTTGACATACATTATTTGTTTTGGCTATCTTAATGTTTAATTTCTTTCTCATGTTTTGCAACCATATATTAATCTTTTTTATCCTTTATGAAATATTTTAAGATATTGCAAGTAGCCAATATAACTTTCCAATCTAATGGATTTAATTAAGGGAAAAGCTTTGCGGACAATCCAAGCTCAACATTAGGAGCCACTCAAGTGATCAGAAGCGAAGATAAAGTTTGAAATTGGTAGAAAAAAATAAAAGGGTATTAGGAATTTGTATGTGGGTCTGGTCCAAGAGTGAGGGAGAGTGATTGAGCTATAAGCTTGTGTGACCTGCTTGTTTAAAATGCCTTAGGCAATTTAGACTTGATGTTTTCTTGCTTATATACCCTTTGATTTATTGTTAATCTCCCAATGTGGGACTTTATTATCTTAACAAAATGACTTCAATAGTGCCTTGGTGGAGTTTCTTAAGATGTTAGGCACATGGATGTATAAAGTCACATTATTGGTTTTCTATTGACCATTGTGCCATGGAAGCCTCTTCTTCCTTGAGGAATTTGCTATGATATTGTCGCTATATGCTCCAAATTAAAATTCACATGAATGTCATCCATCTCTCCCCCTCTATCATACCTACATTGAAACCCAAAGCCAAATTTCATTTACTTTGTTTTTTCTTTTGTTGTGATTGGGAAGCTTTGTTGTATCAGTTTTTTTTGTTTTTTCTTTTGTTGTTTCTGTTTTACTTTTTTGATTTCTCTTTGTAATGCATTCTCTTCTCAATAATTTTTTTTTTTCATGTATAAAAAACTGTTGCTAGATATAAGGAAGAACCTCCTTCTAGAATCCAAATCTTCTGCCTTCAATCCTTTTGACTCAAAAGGGTTATATATATATATATATATAACCCTTTAAGTGTTACTTAACTTTGTATTTTAATTTCACAAAGCAAAATTATTATAATGCAAAAAGCCCTTTATAAAAGCAACTTAATCCTATCTTCCTCTAAAATGATGATTTGGAGGTAAAGTTTATATGGCTTCTAAATAAAATCTTGTATTGCATCCACTTCCCAGGATCCTAAATGCTAAAAGCTACCTCTTTAGGGATGTTTGACTGTTAATAAAATCAATCAGGTTTATGATTATCATGAGTAACTATTTCAAAGAACTACCTAACGTTTTTTCTTTCCAAGAGTGTTCTTAAATTTAGGCTTAGGCATAACTCAACTACAAATGATAGCTTGTAAGTTGATGATTGCTTTAGTCCTTGTAAGCTCTTATTTAGTCATATATGTAGTTGATGTGAGATTTCAACATTGAAGCTTGGAAATTATAGGATTGATTTCTTGTTTTTAATATTGCATTGGAACAGTCATGGGATTAGGTAGATTGTGTCAGAAAAACTATGAGGCCAAGTTAATTGCACTGGGAAAAACTGTGGGACCAAGATTTTTTTTAATTTTTCAGTCAAAGGTGGCCTAATATTAGATCTATGGCAAACTCTAAATCATATTACATTTGGGCGAAGGTCTAATTTAATCTCAAAAGTTAGCTTGTAAGGTGAGGATTATTTTAGCCTTCATAAGTTCTTATTTAGCCAATTTGTAATTGATGTAGAATTTCAAGTGTTATTTGGTGGTAAATTGTGTATTGCTTGCTGCTAAGTAAATCTGCTTACAATCTTTACAGACCCTAGACTCAATAATGTCTTTTGATTTTTGCTTCTAATTAAATAATGTGATAACAAAAAAAAAATAAAAATGGTCCATCGATAAAGTTCAAGTGGGCGACACGTGTGTTCCACCTATATGCAATTATTTCCTTGTTAATTTCTTCTTTGAATTTTGAGTTTCATTATACAGGAGAATCCTATATCGAGGAAATGGAGAGTGCTGATTTGAAAAACGTGCAACGTATTAAAATGAGAACACAAAGATACCAGGTTTGCATGTATTTCGTAGAATTACGAATCGTGGCTTTCTCTCATTTTTTTAAAAGCTTTATAGCACATATATTTATTATATGATTTCTCATGTTAGAAAATGAAAACTGTCTCTGCAATGAATATGGGATTTATCTAGTGAGAACAACTCATTTTAAAAATAGGAGAACAATAAATCTAGATCATACAACTTTACATGGATGCAAGATTAAAAGTTAGTTAGTGGTTATATGATCGCTTTAGAAAAACTGTGTCATTTTTCTTTTTATTTTGACCATTCAAATAAGATCTAATGGTCAATATTTTGTTCTCTCATTTCTCATAATAATCATGTGTTCTCACTTAAGCAATACCCTATACACACACAAAACACTTAACTACTATGAGAGGTAAACACATTTAGCATGGAGTCGTGAATACACACACACAAAACATTAATTACAATGAGTGGTAAACACATTAAACATGGACACATGAACACAAACACTAATTACAATGAGAGGTAAACACATTTAGCATGGACACATGAAGTGCATGTGGCTAATCTTGCACTTGCCCTCTTGTTGGAATATACATATTATATAACTCAAGCTTGTTACAAATAGAATCAACTTCATTCTCATTATATAATTCAAGCTTGACCCAGTACTAGTTTGATGTTGGGATCCATAGATGTATCATTGCGATGAAGTCCAACATACCTGTCTCTTCAATTGTGTCCAAATCATCATACTTACACGTAGTGATGATAATACCTATATTAGATTCAACAACATTAATTCCCAATTAGTATATCTAACACAAACATTAGGCGTGGAATTTTAAAAGAAAACATGATCTGCTTAACATTTTATTATATCTAACAAGCCCCTTCATCAAGTGTGTTTGGGTTTGAAGTGTGGATAATGCATAGTCATTAAGGCAAGAATTGAGCTCTTGATTGCTTAGTCATTAAGGCTCTAATATATCAGGAAGAACAGACTAGCCCAAAAATTTAAACTATTACAACAAGGCACAAGATTGATTTTATTTCTCTTCACTCCCTGTTACACAATGAGTTTGGACATAGCATTTGCAAGGATTGAATTCCTGACCACTTCCTAATATTGAGGTTCTGATGCAATTCCTAGAATAAAATATTCAAAGCTTATATGTATAACAGCTGGCAGCCTGGCATAATATATGTAGTACATCATAGCCAAGTGTTTACTAAGATTTTAGTAATAAATATTATTAAGATGTCTCACATTTGCTAGGAATAGAGGCAAAATAAGCTTGGGTAGTCCTCCTTGTATGAGCTAGCTTTTGGAGGTGAATTAGACCCAAGTTTCTTAATATGATATAAAAGTTTATCTAGTTTGAATATTGGACTGCCCAGACATGTCTAGTTTTGTTGGGCCACCTACAAATGTTCAGTCCTGCAAACTTCATGTACCAGATATCTAGTCCTGACATTGGCTAAAAATAAAGACATAATACTCCTTATAAGGGCTTGAATAGTCCTCATTCTATGAGCTAACTTTTAGGAGTGGGTTAGACCTAAGTTTTTTCTTAATAACTACAATTGTCTCACTCTTTCTTAGGAAAAAAGAATCTTAATCTGTTCTGACCTAGACACATTTTCTGCTCCAGGATATGTTGAAAACTAGAGCTACACTTCCTATTGCTGCATTAAAGGGTGATATATTGCAATTGATGAAGGAAAATGATGTTCTTGTTGTTTGTGGGGAAACAGGCTCTGGAAAGACAACTCAGGTCACAACAATTTAACTATAGTTTGTGATATCTTGCCATCTCTATTTTCTGAACTTTCTGTTTCTGTCATTTGCATTCTTGCTTTCAGAATTTATGTATAGATGAATGCAGGTGCCATACTCCCTCTTGTCATCTCCCATCTGAGCGTGTGCAGATTATTTTCTGACTGGCATTTAATGTAGGTTCCCCAATTTATATTGGATGACATGATTGAGTCGGGACAAGGTGGACACTGTAATATTATTTGCACACAACCACGAAGAATAGCGGTAGGTACAAACTCTTGTACTTTGCATATTTGACCAATATAAATATCTACAATAGTTTTATGCTGTATAGTCTTTTCTGTCCCATATTTTCAAAGAATAAGTTACTTGTCACTTTCTTGTTTTATATTCCTTGTCTGCGTGCATAGAAGGGCAAGCTTGTCATAGTGATCAAGGTTTTATGAGGAGTACTGCATTTTGAATATTCTAATTGACTTTACAATTGCTATATAAAGCTGACAAAATTTAAAATAATCTTGGATTGGTAGGACCTTAGGAATCTGTGAACAATCTTCCCCCATCCTTGAATAACACGTGTCCTTTCCTCTTGCTTGTATTTTCTATTATTTGTTTGTTTTAACTTTTTCTTCCATGTGTTAGAGTTGATTTGCTGAAAGTTACCTTGAGAGAGAAATATAATGTAAGCATTGCCTCACTCTTATTACTTTTGGTTAATGTTTTGTGCCTCATGTTTTAGGCTATTTCTGTGGCTGAAAGGGTCGCAGAGGAGCGGTGTGAACCTTCACCTGGTTTGGACAGTTCCATGATTGGTTATCAAGTTCGTCTGGATAGTGCCAGGTGTTTGCTTGTCTGTTCAACAATTCATTAAACACTTTATTTAATTGAGGAGTTTACCTATTGACCCAAAACCATGAGTTGTCTTCAACTGCTAGTCTGGCAAAGTTGCAATACTGAATTGCCTGCTTTCTTTCATTTACTAAATTCCAATTTTGACTTTTAACTGTGATTTATCAAGTATTTTTTATGCAATAGACAATTCTACCAGTTGACGATAGTTTTCAAACTAGCAATACATACTAGATTCCAATATCTTGGTCCATTTGTATGGAAAATTGTTTCTCAGAAAGAAAATATTATCTAATGCTAATGCTAATGCTAATGCTAATGTTTTCTCTTTTTGTTCTGTTCTGTAATTGTAAGTTTTAATCTGTGACTTCTTATTTTCATGTTAGGAATGAGAAAACAAAGCTTTTGTTCTGTACAACAGGCATCCTTCTCAGAAAAATGACGGTAGGTTATTTCTTTAAATAGTACAATAGGTCTATACTTAATGTTGTCTTCAACCTGATGCATGCATCATTGCATCTTAAATGAGAAGGATCAGTGGAAGTGTATGTATATATATATAACATTATTTGGTCCATTGTGACCAACCTTACCTAGTATGCATCTTAAATGAAAAAACATTTTTTTAAACACTTAATGCCATTTTATTCTGTAAGTATGTTATTATTTTCTGATTTTAATTGTTTTCGGGGAAGGCATGGATTATTTTATGGACTAAGTGCATTGGTATAGATTATTTTTGGGAAAACAATTGCTTGTTTTTTAAAAGCTCTTTCTTGAAGCTGGTAAAAATAAAAGATTATATTTCCTAAATATGCTGAGCCAAGCATGCACTAATTTTAAATAAGCGTCCTTCAATACATTAGATATTACAGTTGACTCTTGTGGGATGCAACAATTTATGCATTTTCTTTCATGAACTTATTAATGAAACCCATTGAGCCCTGGCCCATCCATTTGATGAAGAGATAGTGAGAGACTTGCGAGAAATAGCTAAAGGCAAAAACAAAAGAAGGCTAGGGCACATGCGAAGAAAGGTTGATGATCCAACTCCAGTCTCCCCAAAACCTGACCCAGAAATCCTAACTGTGCAGGATTGGTTCTAATCACTGGTTACACAATCCCACGCCTAAGATTGATGATCCAGCTCCAGTCTCACCAGAATGCTATCCTGTGCCCAACTTGGCTTACTGATTGCTGCAAAATTCATAAAATTGAATGATCCTTTGATCTTAATCGCGATCTTAACAACAATGCCCAGTAGAACCAGCAGGGCCAGATGAACCTGGTGATGGCAGCGGTGGGTGAGGAACCTTCTTGCAACACAGCTTGGTTGGTTCTCAGATCAGTTAACTATGGGGGAATGGTGGCAGCAGTGCACTGGATAATGGCATCAAAGATAATGGATTGGTGCTTATAGCAGCTGATGCCCTATCTGAAATCAAAAAGAGGGAAAAGGAGTGTTCTTAAGCTCTGATGCTGACTTGAACTAAAATGAAAAGTATTATAGTTATTAATCTCTAAAGGAAATTATAAGAATTTATAGGGGTAGAGGAACTACCTCTAACCAATCCCTTAAGTGCTAACTAGCAAAAGGATAATAACTAAACTAATCCTAACCATCCTAACAAATATCAGCTTAATCAACCATAACTATACTGTTTTTAAGTCATTATTGGGTTTTGTATGCTTTTCATTTCTTGAATTGTAGGTTATTGTTTACCTTGCAGGGGGGCCAAAGCTTGTCTGGCATTACGCATATCATAGTTGATGAAGTTCATGAGAGGTCTTTATTGGTTAGTTTACACACAACATTTGTATGAAGCTTATGCTCAAATGTAGTTCTCATTATTTATACCTTGAATGATTAGATGCGTGAAGTTCTTTGTAATATGTCATTTTCTACCATGTGTCATGAACCAACTATCCCAAAAGCAAAGCAGTTTTGTTTTATTATATTATATTTCCTACATATCTCCATACGCATTAGTCACTTTGGATTGAAGCATGGACAATGTACAGGCCCACCTATTGGGGGCTGCAAGGATCAAACTCTAGATTACTTGGTCACAAAAACTTCGATACCATTTCATGAAATAAACTATCCTAAAAGCTTAAGCTGTTAGGTCAAACACAAGTGGTTTTATATCATATTTCAACCACCATGCTTAAACATTATTTAGGTAATTGTGTCAACATATATTTGATTACGTTGATTAGTATTGAGATAGGCTTTAAGTAGGAAAGTGAGAAAGAGAGAAAACATATTTTTAGCAATATTCTCTAATTTATAATAATGTAATATAGAAGTAATCATCCAATAGTCTTATTTATACTAATAATTAGGTCAAGTACGGGTGTATTTTACTAATACAAGCTTAGGGTGGTTATGGACCAGGTCAACTTGACCTGAACTATCATACCAATTCTTTAGACCCAAACACTACCTGGTCATGACTCAATTATGACAGGCCCATGACTGGGCTGACTCTACATATTTAACCAAAAAATGTAAATTTTAGACATATAGTTATGCAATTTTAAACCTAAGAAAATAAATTTCTTATCTTCTCACTTTTGTATCTCTCTTTCCTCTCAATAAATTTTGTTAAAAAAAAAAAAGAGAGAAATATGTGGCTTACATCATATATTTTGAAACAACACAATCATGATATGTAAAACATTCTAAGTCAATGTCTTATTTTTTTTATTTCTTGTTTTTAAAAAATTGTCTAAAAATATTATCTGACATCACGCTGGATGGGGTTAACTTTTGAGGTGTTATCCAAACCTGTTTTCCCTATCCCCATGCTTGTGCGGTATCATATCTGTGGTAGATAGGATCAAACACCTCACTAATGCCTTCAAACCTAAACAAATCTTCTTTTATTTGGAAATTTTGATTTTATTTTTGGCAGAGAAGTAACAGAAAAGCAAATAAATGAAATGCTGGGATTTACATATTTTTCTTTCATGGTGAAATTTGAGAGCTTCTTTGAGATGATATTTTATATCTTTTGGGGCTGTTAGGAGAATTCTTGATCCTCTGTTTATGGACTATTATATGCTAATAATCTCATTTATTAAACAATATAAACTTCATATATATATATATATATATATAATCCTATTTTTTTACAGGGTGATTTTCTTCTAATTGTTCTAAAAAATCTTACTGAGAAGCAATCCAGTGAAAGCTCAAGAAAACTGAAGATCATTCTAATGTATGGATTTTTGTGTTCAATGCTGTTTCAGGAATTAGTGACTAAACTTGCTTAAATTAATTTTCTTTTGTCCTAAATTATTTTTTTTGTCTTGTATGCAACTATAACGATCAGGTCTGCAACAGTTGATGCAAGTTTATTTTCAAGATACTTCAGCCATTGCCCTGTAGTTACTGCAGAAGGAAGGACTCATCCAGTGACAACATACTTTCTCGAGGATATATATGAATGGATTAAGTATAAACTTGCTTCAGATTCTCCTGCTTGTTTAACATATGGGACATTTCCCAAAGGACAGGTATTACATGGCCAGATTTAATTACTGTTATTGATTTGTGACTGTGATTTGACCTCTATTGTCCATCCTTTATCCCTTAGCTGACTTGGTGCATAAATTATCTGATTTAATTTTTTTTTTTACTGATTGCACTTCCTCTAATTTATGAAGTATTGCAATTTAGAATTTGCAGAGAGGTGTTGTGACAAATAGCAGGGGGAAGAAGAATCTAGTCTTATCTGCATGGGGTGATGAGTCTCTTCTTTCTGAAGAATATTTTAATCCGTATTTTTTTCTAAGTCACTATCAATCATATAGTGAACAAACTCAACAAAATATGGTAAATAAATCCCTATCAAGATGTAAATCTGCATACCACCTTAAATTGTGACTCTAATTTGACCATTCGTATTTTGTTTATTCAGAAAAGACTGAATGAAGATGTCATTGATTATGATCTTCTTGAAGATCTGATTTGTTTCATTGATGAAAATTGTGGTGAGGGTGCCATCCTTGTATTCCTACCTGTAAGTAAGAATATAGTTATCCTTTGAGTTCCTATGTTTACCTGTATCTGCTAAGTGTGATTAGTAATATTTTTTCAAAATAATTTGTCATGCTAGGGAGTGTCAGAAATAAACTATTTATATGATAAGTTGGTGTCTTCATACCAATTTGGTGGGCCATCTTCTGATTGGGTTATTCCTTTGCATTCATCAGTTGCATCAAATGAACAGAAAAGGGCGTTTTTACGCCCTCCAGAAAATATACGTAAGGTGAGTTTGACGATTATAATTTAGCATTATAAATCACTTGTCCTTTTTTTCATACATAGAGTTACACTTCTCAGATTAAAAGAACTTATGACATTTGGGCAATTGTTTTCCCCTTTCAAAAACAACTGTATGTGACCACAATACTTGGGCCTAATCCTGTCATTTTTCCATTCAGATCCCTATCATGAACAACCAACTATCCCAAAAGCTTTGAGCTGTTGGGTGAAAGCATGAGTGATTTTATATTTAACGTACATGTAGAATTGAGATAAGGACAACACTTGGTACAATGGTAAGGTTGTGGACTAGCGACCTCGAGACCAAGGGTTCAAATCCTAGAAGTGGCCCATTTGCATGGGTAAGACTAGATATATCTACCTCAGGTACCTTATGCATTGGGTCACAATTTTTCAAAGGGAAAATCTTGGTGTAATGATAAGGTTGTTGCCTTGTGACCTAGGAGTTGTGAATTCAAATACTGGAAATAACCTCTCCACTTGCATGGGTAAGGTTACATACATCTACCCTCCCCAAATCACAGTAGGTGGGAATCTCATGCATTGAGTTGCCCTTCTTTTATGCCTAGAGAATTTAGAGAGATAGGCTGGAATATATTGAGTGGGAAAGAAAAGACACACACAAGTGATTATTTTCAATGCTTAATAAAGTCAGAATTATTTAGTAGACTCTAATTACTATGAAGGCTAGCTACATTTCACATGGAACATACATATCATATGTTCCAAGCTTGTTTCAAATAGAATCAACATGAGTCCCTCTTGAGTATTTATTGAAGATTTCACCCATTAGTAAAGTAGAATTTCTCTCGGGGTGTAAAAGAGATATATTTTGTGGGTCCCACACCTAGAATCAATTCTACCTGACAAAAAAGATTAAAATTTTCACTTCTACCACTGCTGCGGATTTGATTTTGAGAATGCAAATAGATGTAATATTAGGGCCTTTTCAAATTCAAATAGACACTTTATTGTAGATTGTTTACTAATTACTGTTATGGTTTTCTCTTAGGTTGTTATAGCCACAAATATAGCAGAGACAAGCATAACAATAGATGACGTGATATATGTAATTGACTCTGGAAAACATAAGGAGAATCGCTATAATCCTCAGAAGGTATGTTCTTTCTCATATCCAAAATGAGTTGGTTGTTCATAGCGTCATAAAGGTCTTGTTCATACACGTTGCAGTTAAAAATTTCTTCATCAGCTTCATTTTTTGTGTGAAATGTGTAAACTTTTCACCTCATTGTTAAAGCTCAGAGTAGTGGTACTGAAACTAGTATGTTCAACAATGTAAGGTTGTACACTTGTTAGTTGTTCAAGTAAGGGGATGAAATGGATACATTTTCCTAAAGACTCAGATGTCTATTGATAGTTTGCATCTGTATAGTTACATTTTGGATACTCCACTGTTCTAAATAAAATAATTTTTTGAAACTGATTTTCTTTTTACCAATTTCATTTTTTTGTTTCAGAGATGAAATTACAATTTTAAAATTATTACTGAACCCTTTATATGCATTGAATGTGATAATATAACTCTCTAATATCTGGTTTGATTGTTTGTATGGTTGATACTAGAAATTATCCAGCATTGTTGAAGATTGGATTTCTCAAGCAAATGCAATGCAGCGTCGGGGTAGAGCTGGACGTGTAAAGCCTGGAATTTGTTTTTGTTTGTACACTCGTCATAGATTTGAGAAACTTTTGCGTCCGTATCAGGTATATATCAAAACTTAAAGGGTTAACTAATGGTTCATTCGGTTTGTTTTTTGCTTTCATTTCCAGTTGATTTGATTTCCCTAATAACAACAAATTGTTACTTTGTTTTCATTTTGTTTCCCTTCTTAAGATTGAGAATAAAATGCTGAAAACAAGTGTTATTTTATGTTGTTTTTCCATCCTCTTAATAAGTTTCCTTCCCTATGTTTCCTTTTATTCTCTGCTTATCAAGGTTCCAGAGATGCTTCGGATGCCATTAGTTGAATTGTGCCTGCAAATTAAGTTACTGTCTCTTGGATATATCAAGCCATTTTTGTCTGAGGTAAACTATTTATTTTAGGACTTAAAAAAATTATCTCGGATCAGATTGTCTAGACAGTTTTCTTCAATATCTTTTCACTTTCAGGCATTAGAACCTCCCAAAGTTGAGGCAATGGATTCGGCAATATCTTTGTTGTATGAGGTACTTTATGTTGTTTTTTAATGTCATTGATTCCAATGTTTCTGCTTTAGTGGATTTTGATTTTTTTCATATAATTTTTTTCTTTAATAAATAGAAACTATAAGTTTGCTTTTGATGTCTGCTTTGATAAATTCTGCTGATTGATAAATTAGAGATAGGATGTTTAAAAGCAACACACATAGCAAAGTTGCTGTCTCATGAATGGCAGAATATCCATTTTCTTCATGGCTCATAATGTTGTTCCTATCTGTTAAGATGTCCGACATTAGTTAAGAATAAAGATAAAATTCTCCTAATAAGGGTTTGGGTAGTCCTTCCTCTTATGAGCTAGTTTTTGGGAATGAGTTAGGCCTAAAGTTTTAAATACTCTCCATAGAGCAATGACATAATTTTCAGGCACCTTATTTATTTTGGAAGATGAATATCCAATTATCTTGTTTCTAATTTTTTTTTTATTTTTTGGTTTGTTAGATAAATTGAAGAATGTTATTTGTTTTGAAATCCTTATTACTTGTTTCTATTTAATTTGCTGAGGCATTTTCCCATTCCAATCATATTTCTTATCTCAAGTAAAATTTTCCCCCAAAAGCAATTGCTCTGTCTTATTAGCGTGTGTATAGAAATACTGTCTTATGCCATAACATGTTTGTAGCCCCTATATAATATGATAGATGAAAATGTTTCCTAATCTTTGTATATGCTTTTATTGAAATCAAAATGTGGTAGGTTGGAGCTCTTGAAGGGGATGAGGACTTGACACCTCTTGGGCATCATCTGGCAAGACTGCCTGTGGATGTATTAATTGGGAAGGTATACACCAAATTTTTCTTTTTTAAATTGAACATTTGATTTTCAATGCTGGTGCAATGTCTGTCTCAAGAATTTGTTGATTTTAATATGGTGCTTGTCATTTCTTTCCTCATTTTAAGATGATAAAGATTCCAAGAAAATGAGAAAGAATGAAAAAGTTAACAGGGAGAGATCTGAAGTATAATCTGAACTATTTTTCTGTTATTGATGGAAATTATCTCTGAATTGGCATCAACTACATTATACATTTAGAGGCAGAGTAGTCAATAGCGGCTGCTACCACGAAAGAGCGGCCATCACACCGCTAATAGCAGCCAAATCGCGGTAGAATCGCAGCCATAGCAGCCGTTATTTCATCTCTGGCCAAAACCCGACTTTGCCCTTCTTTTCTTAATGTTGGACATCTTTAAATAGGGGTAATCTTGGTATTTTTTCCCCTTTTACATTTCTGATATCTTCTTCTTCCTAGCAAGCCCTAAGTTTTCATTTTCATCTCTCAATTCTCCTCTCAGTTCTCTCTGGTTTGTTCTTCCTCATCTTCGTTCTCTGCAACATTTTCTTGCTTCTGGTGTCCTTCTCCATCTCCGACGAGGTTTTTGAAGTGACAGAGTCGTTTCTTTTTTTCCAGTTATTTTCTTCATCTCCAATGAAGTTTATGACTTGACTTAGACGTTTTCCAGTCGTCTTCATCTCCAGTTGTCTTCTTCAACTCAGGCGAAGCTTCCGATGTGATCCAAACATTTCCAGTCATCTTTTTCATATTTGATAAAACATTCGACGAACTTGCACATTTTCTAGTGATTGACCATTTTTTTCTTTTCTTATTTCCTTCTCTATTTTGGATATTAATTTTATATTAGGTATACTACTTAGAACTTCATAATTGCTGGCATCCCGCTATCCATGCCGCTATAGCGTTTTTGAGGTTGGCTGCTCCGTGCCGCTATCCGAGATTGACTACTATGGTTAGAGGCATCACTCTGTCAAATAACAAAATCTGCAGCTTCCTACACTTAGTAGCATCTCAGTTAAAAGTTAAAACCTAAGTGAATTTAGCAAAGAACACACTTTATTATCACTACTACATGAGCAGTAATGATAATATCTCAAAGATAAAACACACTTTATTTTGATGAGATGGCTACTATGTCAATGCTTAGTCCTCTCGTGGAACATTGGGTTTGAGGCTATATGTAGAGTAGCTTGATAGTCACAAATGAGTGTTATTTGTGTAGCTTTTCCAAACTTCAATTCCTCAAGTAACTGTTTGGGCTATAAAAGTTCTGAAATATCAGAGACCATAGCTTGATATTTTACTTCTACACTAATTCTACAATACTATACTTTTTCTCCTTCCAAGAGAAAGTTATCATAAATAAAAACACAATATTCATAGGTGGATCTCTTATCAGTAGGAAAGGTTACCCAATATGCAGCAGAACGTCCCACAATTTGGGTATGTCCTTTGTCTTAATGCAGAATGCCTTTCTTTTTAGCTCCCTTGATATATTAATGTTCTTTACAAGGAGAGTTGAAAAACTAACTCATTACACTTACAACAAAAGAGATATTGGGATGAGTGATAGTAAGAGACTTGGCAACATGGTTTAGGATCTGTAAGAGTGTCAACAAGCTTGACATTTTGACAAGATCTTTTGGAGAACCAAACCATAAAAGCTTCCAATATGAGACTCAAGTTTTATACTTTGCAATTGGATCTTAACATCCCACCACACTTTGCAGCCCCAATGCTCATGCAATGTACACTTGGCCTTTTGACTAGTCTCAAGTGAATACACAATGCCAACACGTCAATACCCACACTGCTCATTGAGAGACATGGTGGAAAGCTCAAATACCAAATGATTAGAGCCTTGGGAGAACCATACAAACAAAAGCTAATTGTTGTAGTTGGAGAGTGCAATGCCTTATAAACCTACATTACCTTGCAATCAGATCTTAACACATTCATCAATACTGCCTTTTTCTAAAATGTCCATTTCATACTACTTGTGATGAGAGTATCATCCACACAGACAATAAGGTAAATGCAAACAATAGCTGAATAGCAATAGAAGATGGATTGGTCAACTTCATTACCAAATTGTTAAGCCTCTAAAATAAATGTCAAACCATGTTCAAGGGAATTGTTTGAGACATAATGACGTGTGCAACTAACAAGCAAGTCTGGAACACTCTTAGAACAACAAACCTGACAACTGGTCCATTTACACATCTTTCGTAAGATCATGTAATAAAGCATTTTATATGTTCAATTGATAAATGATCCAATGAAAATTGCTCCATAGACAAGAACAACTGCAGAAAAGGCATTTTTGCTACTGGAGACAATGTACCACCATAATCTAATCCAAAAATTGTAATTTATTAAAGTTCCACTTCCAAGATCTTCCTCCCTACATGATAAGCATATTAAGGTTAAGCAAGTAAGTAGAACACAAGTGCAATACCTAATGAAATTCAATCTAAATGTAAGATTAAGTATAAATTAAATGCAAATGTTGCCGATTATATGGACACATTAGTTGTAGAAAAAGAATCAACTTAACATTGGCTAATGTGAAAAATGACATATGCAGGATCGGAACTTCGGTGCTCCAATGCTAACTTGAAACTGAATGTTGTGTTGTATATTGTTGATTTACATGTAGGATTTTGTTCAAATATATGTACGAAGAAAACGGAATCAAATCCCCGAAGTTCAGGGATTGAAATAAATAACAACCTAAAGTATCTAAGGAAACATATGAAAGAATACAAGCAAAAAACTACACATAATTAAAATTGACAAACTCAATCAACACTTTCTTTCTTTGTTACTGTAAATTTTTTGTAAGAGCTATCAAGGAAAAAGTCATATCCCTTGTTCCCCCTCAATTATATTTGTTAAGTTTTCAAGTGTCTACCTAATGATTAATTTTGATACACTTAATATATAATATGTCTTTGTGTTCAATCCAAGCTTAAATGGAATAGAATGAATGTCTATATTATTTTCTCAAATGAGTTGCACTTTGATTAGGCTGCGGCTGGTTCCCTCAAATGCACTGCAGTTAATATATTTTTTCCATTAAATAATCTTCTGCAGTTTATATTTGTACATTTGCAATAATCAACTTTTTAAAATGATCTTCAAGGGGCGATGTTGTTGACAAGTTTTTTGTCATATTTCCTATACATTTTATTTCTATCTGTTAAGATTTTTAAAATGACCATCAAGTTCTGTCAAAATAATGTGCTGTTCTCCTCCTTGTCAAAATAATACTGCATATCAAATTTATTGGAAGTCTGGTTTTGGCTAAGTGCATTTTCATGTTGCTCTGCTCTACATTACTGTTGAAATAAATATATGATTTAAGACATGCTGACTGCTGAGCCATCCACAAATGGTGTTGTTTCTGTAATTGCAGATGATGCTATATGGTGCAATATTTGGTTGTTTGTCTCCTATTCTTTCAGTTGCTGCATTTCTGAGTTACAAGTCTCCATTTGTGTATCCTAAGGATGAGGTCTTCTGTCAGTGCTTTCATAATATTTCAACAGCTTTACTTCTTCATATTGGATTTTAAATAAAATAGTATGTCTACTTTCAGAGGCAAAATGTTGAAAGAGCAAAATTGTCATTGTTGAATGATAAGCTAGATGGGCCTGGAAACACCAATGATGTTGATCGGCAATCTGATCATTTACTGATGATGTCAGCATATAAAAGATGGGAGAGGATTTTGACTGAGGTCAGTATGTAATTGTAATTTGTTTTCTATGCATCCCCCAATAACTTTTATATCCCTTTACCTTCACACCTTGGTTGAGGCATATACTATTGCTTATTATGATTATGATAAGGACTTAGTGTTGGATATACTCAACTGTAAGTTGTAAGAATGTAAATTATATACATTTATCTGTAGAAACTGTCATATTTGTGTGGTATATTTTATAGTATGGTGTTCTTTCGGAACATGTTTTAATTGCTTTATGTATTTAAATCTGCAGAAAGGAACTAAGGCTGCACAGAAATTCTGCAATTCATTTTTTTTGAGCAGCTCTGTAATGTTTATGATAAGGTATTCTTTATTTTGTCTGTATCTTATTCAAGTGACAGTTCTGCTACCTTAATGTTATTTTATCTCAATTTTGATTGTAACTGATATTATAATTATTCCTTGTTTCTGTAGTTTTGCTTAGATTAAAAAGGACATGGCTGCAATGTTATATCAATCTCTCATATTAGCGTTTTTACATTGCTGTATATTATGTATATATTTGTTTACCACGTGAGCCTTTTCTTAGGCGACAATAATAAAATCAGTTTTGAGTTGGTACTAGAGCTCTCTAGTTTGACCCATAGTAGTCACTCCTATATAGAAGCATAGAGCGGCCGACCCCCAAAACACTATAGTAGGATGGCCACTATTCTAAAGTTTAAAATACACCCAATATAAATTATGCTATACATATATATATGCTGAAGAATACAAAATTAAAACCCAAATTAAAGACATGAAGGGGTTCAGAGAAGAAAAACATAAGAGAAAAGAAGAAAGTCAAAGTAGATAAGGAAAATTGAGAATAGAGTGATCAGTCATTGGAAAAAAGCTGTAAAGAATAGCCAGAAAATGTCTTGGTATTGTTGGAAAATAGCACTCAAGAAACTACAGTTTCCTTGCCCAAGCCCAATGTTGAATTCCTCATGAGTTTTTCTCTCCCTGGCTCACTTCTCTCCTCTCCTTATAACTGAATTCCCTTTTTCCAAATCCCATCATAGGCATCCAGTACCCTGCACATTCGGTGTTATATATTAAAGATGTTTTAAACTTATACAATAGTGGTATCTTCAAAGAAATGGATAGAGGTTATATATTAATGATTTTTTAATGTTTAGCTTATTTGGATCTTCCAACTCTTAATACCTATTCATGTTAACCAAAGGCATGTTAATCCAATCTTCTGTTAGTAAATTGTATTTTTTTTTTATCAACTCTTTTTATGCCCCTTGTTTATTTGATATGTCAGGGAGATGAGGATACAGTTTGGAACTTTGATAGCTGACATTGGTCTCATCAATCTCCCGAAAGATTATCAGGTTTGTTGGCTCTCTTGTTCTTTAAAGTAATGTTTCTGTTATAGGACGAGTAACCAATAATGGTCCCTCGCACATGGCAGTAACGGCTGTCATGGCAAAAAACCTTGAAAAATGGCATTTTGCATGGGTTGGGCCCAAACCTGACCCGGTCCAGAAGTTGACCCACGCAGGAAAACTTAAGGTACTTGCCCTCTTTGTCACTAAAAAACACTTCCTCCTCATCTTAGCTCTCTCTCTTGTCTTATTTATCTCTTGTCTCCAATCTATCTCTCTTATCCGACCTCGTTCTGCATTTTGCTGAAGTGTCTCTCTTTTCCAATCTGTTATTTGTTCTGCTGGGTGTCATTGTTCTGTTCTCTATTTTCGGCGACTTCTCCATCTTCGGTAACTTCAACCTCCATTTCTGGTGACCTCATTTTTTTTTTTGTTTTTCCCTCTCTTGCAATTTTTTCTTTATTTTCTTCATTTTAGTTTTGCCCTTTCCATCTTTCAAATTTTCCCTCTCCCACGTCTATTTTTTCTCTATTTTTCCTCAAAATTTTTTTTCTTTATTTTAGCTTTTCTTAACATGGCTCAACAAGAATCTTTATCAAATTTTTCAAGAGCTTTAATCGTTCTGACTCGAGATGAAAATATGCTTATTCGTTGAAAGAGGTTGATACAAAAAATATGCTTATGAGTGCTAGAATTACCGCAGTGAAACATTTGATTGGAAAGAAGGGTAACGTGAAAGCTTGTTCCAAATATTTAGAAAAAGTTAGAAAAGAGATTAAGATATATCAAAAAGATAAAAAGAGTCAACAACTTTGAGATCCAAATGTGAGAAGCTTTGAAAGTATAAACTATGATAAAAGTGAGGATGAGTAGGATACCCAAACACATAGTATTGTCATGGGTAATCAAAAAGGGTAAATGGATTTGTATTGTAGAAAGCTAGAAAGTTCGATTGAAAAAAGGAAAAAGTTAAAATTGAGACAAGTAAATATAAGAGAAGTTTGTGATGAAGAAGCCAAGGCAAGTATCTATCAATGCATAGCTCGATTTTGGTATCAAGTTGGCCTTTCCTTTAACCTTGTTAAAAGAAAGAGCTTTTAGAATGCTGACAGTTGTTGGTGTTTTTGGTGTTTTCGGTCTAAATTTATCAACTCTAAGTTATCATGATATTCGAATTTCACTTCTTAATAAAGAGTTAGAATATACGGATTCTTTTATGAAAGATCACAAGGAGCAATGGAACAAATATGACTGTTCCATCATGCCAGATGCATGGACCGATCAAAGGCAGAAATGTTTGATTAATTTCTTGGCCAACTCTCTTGCTAGGACTATGTTTGTGAGGTCCATTGATGTTCTAATTTTATAAAAATCGACGAAAAATTATTTGAGATGCTTGATGCTCTTGTGGAAGAGAGTAAAGATAAAGTTGTACAAGTAATAACAGATAATGGAAGCAATTATGTCTTTACTGTTAAGATGTTGGAAGCAAAAAGACCATATCTTTATTGGACTCTTTGTGCAATTCATTGCATTGATTTTATGCTTGAAGATATTAGAAAGCTTCCTTTGATAAATAAGACAATTCAAAGGAGAATATTTGTTGTTGACTTTATTTACAATCATTCAATTACCTTGAGTTTGTAGAGAACTTTTACAAACAAGAGAGAATTAGTAAAACATTTAGTTACAATATTTGTAATTTCTTTTCTATTATTAGAAAGACTTCATCAAGAAAAAGTAAATCTTAGAAAGATGTTTACTTCTTAGTTGGGGTGTAAAAACAAATTGTCAAAAGAACTTAAAGAGAAGTAAGTAGCAAATTGTATTAAATTTTGTATTTTGGAATAGTGTGGTATATACTTTCAAAATCATGGCTTCTCTTATATGTGTGTTACGTTTGGTTGATATGGAGGTTACGAATGGATTGTATCAAGAGGTTGGTGCCAAGTCGAGATGTGCAACAAAGAATACTATTTGAATTACCAATATATAAGAGTGGTAGTGGTCTATTTGAGTTCGACTTTGCAAAATCACAAAAAAAAACATTGTTCTTGGTAATTAATCAAAAACTTTAATATTTTAATTTTAAGTTAATTAATAGTCAAAACCTTATCTTTAAAGTTATTATTTATTTTTGATTTTATAGGACTAGGACAAAGATCTATTCGGTGAATGTGAACAAGTCGGGAAAGTCAGTTGGAATAACTGCCCTTAATAGTCAAAACCTTACCTTTAAAGTTATTATTTATTTTTTATTTTATAGTTCAATGGTGTAGAATGTATGGACATTCAGCTCCACATTTGCAGCAACTAACTATCAAAATTTTGAGATTGACATGTAATGTATTTGAATATGAACACAACTGGGAGTGTTTTTGGGCAAGTAATTTCTCATCTCTCAAGCTAGTACTTTCTTCTAATAATTAGAAATAAACTAATTACTACTTTTTTAATTACACTTACATTGCAGATTCATTCAAAAAGAAGAATAGGATTGATCATAAAAAATTACATGACTTGGTTTATGTGAAATATAATTAACAACTCGAAAAACATTACAATCTTAAAGATGTAATTGATTGAATTACACTTAATGACATTGATGAGTGTAATGAGTGGTTGGTTGGAGAGATGAATGATGATGCTCATGATGAGGATGCTAAAAATGATTTAGTTTTTTATGGTGAGGACACTTTAAATTTGGCAACTGTTTATGAAGCTTCTGGATTAAGAGAGCCTAGAACATATACTAGCCTATCAAGTGGTATTATTATCAAAGCTACAAAAGTTTTCAAGATCAAGGCATGTTTAATAGCAAAAAGTAAAGAGAAAATGATAATTGAAGATAATCATGATGTTGAAGAATTAAAAGATGAAAAGACGTCGAAAGAAACAGAAGATGAATTACAAATTAATCTGAGGGAGACGAGGACGAGGGATATGTTTTAGTGGATGAGAAAGAAGATGATTACATTGGAGTTGAAAAAGAGGATTAAATTGATAATTTTTGTTTTTATTGTTAACTTGACATTTGATGGCTACATATTTTGTATTAAATTATGTTTTGAATTATAAGTTATGCTACATATATTTTGAGTTAATTCTATTCTATCATTTTTTGTGATCTATAATATTTTTTATATATTTTATTATATCCATCATAACCTATTATGACGGCTGCCATAACTTTATGACATTTTTTTAGGTTTCTGTCATTGATAACATTGATTATTTCTATTCATTACAGATTTATTTCTTTTTCTTAGGGACAGATTTAATTTATTTTTTATTCTCCTTGTAATTTATAATTTTTCTTATTTAGACAGATTAGCTCCTATAAGTTGACAGCAGAATATATCATAAAATAATATTCTACTTCCTTTACCCTTATTTTCAACTATATTCAAGATTCTAGAGAAGAGAAAGAGAGATTGAGAAGTTGAATGGAATTACACGTTGAAATCACAAAGTTTAACACCAAACCTCAAGCCTTTCATGGAGGCTTACATGAATTTGCAGCAAGACAAAATGCCAGAAAGTGAGATTATATCTGAAAATTAAAATAAAAACATAAAATTCATAGGAAGGATAAAAAATTAAATATATTTAACAAAAATCAAATAATAATCATTTGAAATAAAACACAAGATATGTAGAATTTTGCATCAAATTTCAGTGGACCTCTTATATGTTACTTGTCCGTGTATGTTGCTCGTTTTAATTCTTTGGAGTTGTAAAAATTTTGTCATGATTATGTGGGAATGCTCTATTTCTAATTTTATTTTTTTCTTGATACATCATCTGGGCCATATCAGATGGATGGAAAAAAGACGGGGAACCTTGACAGTTGGCTTTCTAATGCATCACAACCATTTAATATATATGCTCATCATCCATCGATTCTCAAGGTAAATTTTGTATATAACTTGGTTGTAACATTTAGGCAATGCTTGCTTCATTTTTTCTAACCTTTTAGCTGATATTCTTTACATTTGCTTTGACTTTCTTTACTTCACGTAACTCCTAGTGTACAATCTGATCAGTGATTCTCTTGATCTAGGCGCTTGTTTCTGTTCTGAACGTCATGTTTAGTTCATGTTGTCATTTCCATCACTTTATATTGTGCTGTGTGAGTCTGTGCCATAACTTTTTCTCAATTGTTTTTCATAGTCACTTTTCAAGTATAACAATATGGTGCATTGTTTTACTTTTGTACTTCTACTTTTTATTTTCTGAATCTTGATACTCAATGGATGCAAATACATCAAAGACATTATTTGTCACAAGATTTGAAGGATATTTTCAGTTATATCCTTCCAATTAATCGCACAATTTAAATCTGAACTTTGAACATTGTTCTGTAGCTTATATTGAATGGAGAGTAGCAATTAAATTTAGGGATGGAGATGACTAACCATTTTACTGCTGAATTGGAATGCTTGGGCCCAAGATCTGCAAAATAGAAGCATGTTGTGTCTTCCATTCTGTTTTCTTAATTTTTATTGGAACATGCCATAAAAATTAGAATCTTTGTATTTCTTTGGATTTCTCTTTGCTTCTCACTTAAATTTTTTTTCTTTGGTTCTGTCTCCCATATATAACTGTAATAATCATAGTTCTTGTTACATTTCATCTGAAAGATTAACCCTTTTGTTTGTTTGGGAAATTCTAGTTGGGCACATCATTTGTGTGCTATATCACCATTTTCCATTTATATAATTTTTTCAGTACAGGGATCAGTTCCTTTCCTGTTAACAGTCAGAAAAGTGGTAGAAAACTGATGTGCAAATATCATTGTCCATTCTTTTTACATGCCAAGAACTCTTAAGTGTACTCTTGCAGGCTATACTATGTGCGGGTTTATACCCCAACATAGCAGCCAGTGAACAAGGCATTGTTGCAGCAGCTCTCACCAGCCTTAAGCAGTCTTCTAGCTCTGCAAATTCTGGTCATAGAGTCTGGTTTGATGGAAGAAGAGAGGTTCATATCCACCCTTCTTCTATCAACAGTAACACAAAAGCATTTCATTACCCCTTTCTTGTTTTCCTTGAAAAGGTTTGTGATTAGTTTTTCTGCAGAAGTTTGCCAACTCTTTTTTAGCATGAAATGTTTCTTCTCACTAATAATTTGGAAATTTATTGCCACTTTAATATTTGTTTATCCAAACTGTTGCTTTGAAATCATTTTAATATTATGATATATATGTATTTATGAATATAAAATTACTGTAACAAACTCATTGCTACCCCTTTGACCTAGAGAAAAGTTGGTAACTTTGAACTTCAGAAATATTGAATGTTATTTCTTGAAAAACGCCCATGTGTAGTTCTAGTTTCTTATAATTTTAATGTAGGAAAAAAAGTGTATTTCACAGCTTGATGTTTGTTTACAAGGCAACGGTATAAATAGGGAATTAGATCAATAACTGTACGTTAATCTAGGCCTAGAAAGTATGTTGGTAAGTGATCCTTGCAAGTTACATTATTCAGCTTTATACAATTCATGCATATTCTCGCAGCTAGCAACTGCTGTAATTCCTCTCTCTTTAGGAACACACTGAACTGGGGAGACTCATGAACTATCAAAGATTGGATGTATGATACCTACATCAAGCCACATGATGATTTCCTTCTTTACCGCTCCATCATAATGGGTTTTAATCTGCATTGATGCTCTACTAATGATTTTTGGCCCTCCAATAAAATTTTATGCATGCAAATAGAAGGGCAAATGCCACAAATGTCAAGGATTGTCCATCCAATAGCTAACTTGAATTGGCAAAAGACTCACAGCAGGTTGTCCTCTTATCAGTAGTGAAAGAGAAAGAAATGATTACAGGTTGAGTAGAAGCCGTTCCTAAGTAAGCAAAACACAAATGACTAGGAAGTGGCTTGAGTTCTAACTGAGGGGATTTTTTAGTTGAAGGCTTTATCCCTACTGTAGTAGAAGGTAATTCTAGTGGCTCAAATCTTGGATTCTTAGAAAGTCTAGCTCCAGTATCAAGTTGGTGCAAATATTTAAGAACCATAGTGTCAGCTATATCTTCCCTACTTTGATGAGTTACTAACAATAAAGCTAGCAAGTGTTTGGACTTTGGAATAGGTCTCTTTAAATACTGAAATTAAAAAAGGAACATTTTTCAAATTCTTGCCGGAATTTCATTGCTTAAAAGATGTTAAAAGTTACTTCTTTGTCTTGTTCCCACATAGTAAGCTCATCTTTCTACACAACAATTAAAGTCTTACCAGTAGCAAGGAATGGTCTCCTTAAGTTGATAAGAACTTTGCTATCTTCCTCCATATCTCATATTACAAAGTCAGCAAAGAATATAAATTTATTCACTTTCAATAAAACATCTACAATTATGCCTTAGGATAAGTGAAAGAGTGAGCATTCCCCAAACCTAGCTTATGGAATATGGAAGGAGGCATAAGGTTTATACTTGCTCCTAAATTGCATAGGCCTTATCCTAAAGAATTGATTTCTAATAGTTTGTGAAATAGTGAAGCTTTCACTGTAAAATGACTGAACAAATACAACACTTTGCAGACATTTCACCTTTGGAAGAATGTTTTGTAATCACACTTCTTGTTACAAAAGGCACAATATACTCATTTTCAGTATTCATAATTAATCTGTAAAATGACTAGTTCATTCTGTTTTTCAATCATTATTTCTTTACCTACGCTCATTTTCAATATCCATAATCAACTTGCAAAAGGACGGGTTCTTCAAACAGTGGAAGACCAAACAAAAATACAATTGAATGTTATTTGCACGTTCTTCCACAATAGTAGAATGTTTTATAATCACACTTCTTGAACCTTTGGAAGTGGTCTTGTTCCAAGATTTCTCCCACATATTACTTTAGGATGCAAATTACTATAACCGATTTCCTTGACATGGAGAGCTAAGAAAGTGATTTGCTGCACTAACTCCAAAGGATATGTGTGGACAAGTAACTGTTAGATGGTGTAGTTCATAAGTCAGTCTTCTTTATAGTTTTTTGTATCTGAAAGTGGTTCCTCCTAACTCGGCAGAAATTTGACATTAAGATCGATAGAGGTATCAACAAGTTTGATACCCATCAATGTTGTTGCATATATGATGTCCATTACATACTTCTTTCAATTGAGCTAGTTATGGAAGGAGACCACCAGTCTTTGGTTTGGACACTGCTTGTTAGTTGTAAGCCTCTTTGGGTGGACCAATGATATTATTTGAAATCAAGAATGGATCAAATTGAACTTTGATGTTGTTGAATTGGACCTAAAGCCTAATTCAACCCTAAATGTTAGCTCATGAAGTGATGTGAGACTTCAACACACTCTTTCATGCTCAAGATTGAACATCTAGAGTGTAGGACTTTTTTTTAAATACTACATTGGATAAGCAGTGGGACCAGGTAGGTAGCAATAGGAAAGTTACAAGACAAAGTTACACTGGGAAATCCATGGGGCCAAGTTAATTGCATTAGAAAAGTTCGTGGGAATTATTTTATTTTTTTTTTTTTCATTCAAGGATGACCCAATGTAAGATCTATGATAAACTATAATACCATGTTAAATTTGAAATTTAAGTCTAACTTAACACCAAAAGCTAGTTCGTAAGGTGGAGATTTTTTAGTTTTAATAAAATCTTATTTAGCCATATTTATAGTAGACTTTAAAATGTCATATAAGAAAAGATCTTATTTCACAACTTAATGTTTGATTTCAAGGCAGTGATATAAATAGGTATGTAGGCAAACATCTATACACTAATCTAGGCCTAGAAATCAGAGAAATAATTTCCTCTAAAATTGTGCAAAGTAATTATAGAAAGAATACATGGGATCTCACAAAATAATGAAAAGAATCTGCTCCTAGCCGCACAAAGAAAATAAATTAGTGGATTTTGTTTATTCCTGAAAATCAGGAACAAATCTCCTAAATATCAGGAAACATCAATACTTAAATTTAACATTGCAAAAGTTCCCTCAAATTCCATTGTGTGCTTTGCTAGGATGACATGATGTGTTAGCCACACTCTTGTTTCATACAATTCTTATTTTCATCTCTTAAGTGTTCTTGGGTTGTGTGATGTACTAGTTATCATTAAATATGATTGTGCATGTATGATGTATATTCGTATGAAATTACTTGCTATTCAATTATTAAATTTTTATTTATATTTACATTGCTTACTATTGAAATTGACAGGTTGAAACAAACAAAATATTCCTTCGAGATACTTCAGTCATTTCTCCATACTCTATATTACTGTTTGGAGGGTCAATCAATGTCCAACATCAGGTACGTGACATTACTCTTTTCCCAATCAAATGTTTTTTCAATGGAAAAAGGATAAACCTTTAAGATGAAAATAGTTATGAATATGATTTTCATAGGGTGTATGCGTACCCAATATGATGTAATGTATCCCTTCTATTGCAAAATATATTTAGCCTTGAAAAAACTATGCTGTTTCAATTTATCTTTTTTATTAGAAACCATTAGTGTTATATCTATCTCTTTGAAAAAACAAGAGGGAGAGCATTAATGAAGTGATATTGTTTTGAGTACTTTTATAATAATTAATTTAGTCAAATGTAGATATCATTTTCAGTTGAAACAATCATTGTTGCTTGAGATAAAACTAATTAGATGTTTATTTTTACGTTAAAGGTTACGCACAAGATATTTTATGAAGAATACCATGTGAAGTAGTAAAAGATTAAAATTGTAGAGAAATATTATGTAAAATGTAAATTGAATCACCAAATTGAGTCTTGATTTCATGAAAGATAGATTGAAAAATAGAAAACAATGCAAAACTATCTTTCATTGATAATAATCAAGTACATCAAGAATAATCATTAATAAATTTGACAAAATATCTAGAGCCCATGATTGACATTGTACGATTAGAACCTCAAACATCTAAACTAGGAAAAAGCTTGTCTGTCTAATTGACATAAATCACAAAACAAAGTAGACAATTTGAAAGATGGCAAGATTGAGATAACCTAGTTGAGCTTGAATCAGGAGTCCACTACGGAACTAACATGAGTAGAAGCATTGAGTTGATAAATACCATGAGAGACACATCCGGAACCAACAGTGTTCCCTGAACCCTGACCCTCCTATAGGAAAACAAACTCTTTTGTTAAAGATACCATACAGTCAAGGGAATGGCTTTGACAATTAATAGATAATAAGTGAAGTGAAGCCCAGGAACATGGAAAACATTATCAACTAAGAGAGATGAAAGAAGATGGACAGTACTAAATCCCGAAGATTGTGTTTGAAATCCATTAGCCATGGGTGCAACAGAGAAATAAACCAAAATAGGAAGAGTGGAGAATGATAGATGTCTCTATCAATCAATTAGTTACATCTATCAGAGAATAATGTCTTATTACTAGTAGCATGATCAGTGACCCCAAAGTTAAGAACCCATGGACCAAGAGATGTGGGGTGAGAAATGCCTGCAAAAGAACTACCTTTGTGTGCAACAAAGGCAGTAGAAGATGTCTAAGGATCAGGTGTCAGAGCAGAGGACTCGGAGACAGCAAAGGGAGCAGTGTATGCAACATTGGCAGTCCGTAGAGGGATGTTATTCAAAGGATTAAACACCCTATCAATGGTGTGTCCTACATTGTGACGATACTTAGGACAAGATTTTCCTGGTTTGCTGGGTCGAGAATGATCATACAAAAGAGGACACATCCTTATCAGAAGAGGACTTTCCAAGTATTGCAAAAGAATGGAGCATGCACAGTTCAAAGTAGACACAATGGGAGATCCCAAAATTTTATCATGAACTGTAAAATACTCTGCAAGCAAGCTCTAGAAAATTGAAGTTAAATGAATTGTGTATATTTCATTAGAACTAAATATCATACAGAATGTATGCATGATTTCTAGACTAACTAAGGAAACAAAATATCTCCGTATCCTACCTTGTAATCCCTTGATTTTAGGGATTTTCCTAATTTACAGCCTATATACAAATTACATTAAGAATCACAATTAGCCGAAAGGAGCAAATCATAGGAAACCAGATGACGAGTTCAATGGAAGCTGGGTGAACCATAAGTGGCCAGATGGCAAGTTATTACTTGACCAGATATCAGATTCATTTGTACACGTCAAAATATGTAGGCCAAATGGCAGAAACAAAATCCACATGACGAAAAAGGCAGCATTTCAGCTTCCCCTTATATAAATGTTTGACTAGATTAGATTACTACTTTATATTAGCAAGATATGTTTCAAGCAATAAATTGAGTGTAGTTTTGCTTAGATTGTTTAAAACTGCTCGTTCTAAAGTGTAATTTCATTTCTTTTTTTTAATTTTCTTTCCTTTATGTGATAGTCTGGACTGGTGACAATCGATGGATGGTTGAAATTGAGTGCACCTGCCCAGATAGCTGTCTTGTTCAAGGAGCTGCGATTAGCTCTCAATTCTGTTCTGAAGGAACTTACTAGAAAACCGGAGGTGCCCTTTTTTAGCTTTAATTCCATAGTTAATGATAATTTGAATTTTCATAACTTGAAGCTCTATCATTTCTTATTTTGTATGCTTAGTATTTGAATCCTGAACCGGATGGTCTCTTGTATGCTCATAATTGTTTCTCTTCGGTGGTTGTAATGCGTCTAAGTCTACCATATGCTCATAATCGTTTTAGTTGAATGTGTACTTGAAGTTTCTATTCGCCAATCATATAATCAACTTGCAATGTGTTTCATCAGTGTCTACTGTAACTGTACCCTCCAATGTGTAATATCAATACCATTGCTACACGATGACTGCTTGACAATGAGAATAATAATTGGGTTTTTGTTTCCTTTCAGAATGCCATTGTTCTGAATAATGAGATCATTAAATCTATCATCACTCTGCTTTTGGAAGAAGGAACCATCCATCAATGATTGAGTATCAGCTGATGTAAGCTAAATCATTTCTTTAATTTAAAGCTGCTCCAAGAATCAATCATTGAAGAAGCAGATTCCTTCCTGCTGTAATCTGCTAGTCATTCTGTTGAGTAAAAGGAGCTGACCTTTCTCCTCCGAAGAAAGAAAAGCCCTTTTGAACCATGTTTCTTTACTGTCTTTGAACTATCGATCACGAATTTTGACAAGAAGTTCAACTATATCGTTGGTCATGCCTTTAGCTTTATGTTCTATGGTAAAGAAGGAATAGCGTATTTTTCTTGTAGCTAGGCAGAGATTTTATCCAACCATAGGCCATTAGTTTTATTTAGGACGCGTCGTAACTGCTTTTGTCGTGACTCGTGTGTTTGCTATATACACATTATATAATACCTTGTTAAATGCTAAATCAGTTGCTGAAATTTGGTCCAGGGAGGCTACTACCTGTGGTGGCGGGGTTGTGAATCTGTCTCAAAAAGTGAACAGGATAATGTGATCAATTGAACTGATTCAATCCAATTGGTTTTGTTTAAACTGTTCAATTGATTAGTTTGGACTTTTTTATCTAAACCCAAACTAACTTGATCTGTAAACACCAATATATATTATTTTCCTTTTGATAATTTGGATAACAATTTTACTCCATTATATTATTATGCACTTTTCATAGAAATTGTTAAAATATGTTTCTATGATTAACTATCTTTAAAAATTAGTTGATGGCTAAAATTTAAATTGGCAAACACATGTAAGACGTGATCAATTGACCTGAGAATCAAATCTGGTGAAACTATACATTTGATAACATCTAGTAGACGTTAAATTTTATCAATTTTTTTCTTAAATTGTATTATATCTTTTATAATGATTACGCATATCAAATATGCTGTGTATAAAATGTGGAGCCCTAGTTTTTAAACAAGAAAGTCTTTAGGAATTGGTTTCTTTTTTATTCTGCCATAACTTTTATGTTGACTATTCAATTTTCTAATTTTAATTTTAATTTTAAATTTTTTAAATCTATCTCTTTAATTTAATTATATTTAATATAAAATAATACTTATTATTTATAATTAAATATGTAGACATTTGACTAATTAATCATTGCTTGATTACTTTGAAATATCAATGAATTTCTCCTAAAAAAGGATACTTAGTTGAAGACTGTTAAATTTTTGCAAAATATGTTATTGTAGTTCAATATTTATCTTTTTCACTGACAATGAGGAAGAAGAAAGATTTGGGAGTCGATAATTTTTGTTTTAGAAAGTAAACAAGAGAAAACATGAGTGGAAGAGAGAGGGGAGCAATTTTAATTTTACCATTTAAAATAAGATTAATTTACTAGAATAATACTATTAATATAGTTGTATAAATAAAGCGAAAAAAAATATAAATATTTTGGTATATGTTGCTAACCTTTTAAAAAATTTAACCTTAATCATGTTAGCAAATGCTACAAAATGCACAATTTCTGTTTAGCATTTATGAACTTACATATAGCATGGTAAGTTGGTAACAACTCAATCACAAGTGATAAGTGGATAAAGAAGAGGGCTAGGCAAAGCATGCTAGATGTGCAAAGCCAAGCCAAGCCGAACAGAAATTCTTGCTCAAGATGAAGTTTCTACATGAGAAGTACAAAAACTGTGTCTTCCTTGTGCAAGCGTGGGGACGCGCACGCACGTGAAGATAATTTTTCTTGCATTCATATTCCAATTGCGTCTAGCAGCTGGGAATGTTGAGATACTGAGACTAACGAATTTGCTACAATGGCACCACTTGCAGCAACTGCTGGGACTCCAATGCCAGGAAAGGTGGAGTCTCCACAACAATAAAGCTGAGGGATAGGAGTCGAATGTCCAGGAAAGGTATCTGTACCAGCTTGCACAGCTGGCCCATATGTTCCTCTGTTTCTCCGAAGAAACCTTTCATGTGTTAGTGGACTTCCAACTAACTTCACCTCACATTTCTCCCTGCTGAAACCTGGGCCCACTGCTCTCTCCACAGCTCTCCACATTACCTGACTTACGATAACATAAAAGTGAAAAACTAGATCAAATTCTTCTTTTCCTCACTGGAATCAAACTCAAATTGTGAGAACAAAAATCAGTAGAAGGTGTAGTCTATGATGCTTTCAATCACATTAATTATGTCCTCTTTGTCACAGTTATAAATGCAACATCCATTTTTTTCTCAAATAAACACACAGATATGTTAGTAGTTATATGATCCATATACCTCTGATCTTTCAGCTTTGAGATTTCTGTATTCAGAACTCCTACGATCAAGTCCTTCCCACAACTCAAATGGTTCAGTTCCTGGCATATAAGCATGTAACACGTGTTTCCCCAGCGGTGCCAGATTAGGACTAAGTACACTCGGTACTGATATCAACACAACATTCTGGTCGGCATCAACTCCTCTTTTCCAGTCATTTACAACTATATGATGAATTCCCAGATCACTGCGTATACCCTGGTAATGAGATATTGGGAAAATGCTATCAATTTCAGTTCAAATAGTTTAAACAGTGGATGATTATAGCTATTTAAACTTGAAGATGCAACCAGCACAAGTGACATTACTTCTGCTACTACAATTTTAAGGAGTTAAAGAAGATTATGTGGTATAAAAGGAGTGGAAATGTACTAATTTCCTGTGAAGAAATCACCGGAGAAAGTGTTTTATGCACTACCAACTATTTGAAATGCAGTAAGTGAATTGACCTAATACGTGAAAACTTTGGCATTGCTTCAAGTGAAAGACAATAGAAACAAATAAAACTAGACACCAAATTGGCAAACCTCAGCATCAAATCCCAAATGGAGATGCATGAATGAATCACATTGAGGAGTCGTGTTAATCCTATTGGAATAAGACTTCGGAACAACTTCTTCAGGTAGCAATTTTAAAGTGTCCCACATCGATGCATTGCTTACAACAGCCTTTTTAGCGCTTATGAACTGCAGAATACATAAATGTTCAGTAATCTTAATCCAACTAAAGTTCATCATTGTGCCTTTCGTTATGGATCAAAATATACTCACTTGACCACTTCTCAGCTTGACCCCAATGGCTCTGTCATTTTCAACAACAATCTTTTCCACGTGGCTTTGAAGAGAAATTCTTCCACCAAATTTCTCTAGTCCTCGCACAAGAGCATCAACAATAGCTGCACTTCCATGAAGGGGGTACTCAAGACAGCATCCTGGTTTGTACCATTCTGCAAACATGTAAACCTGAGAAGTTGGGGAAAAAGAATTGTTTCGGCATCAATAAAAATCAGTAAGAAATGATTCATTAGATTAGTACTCGTAGCCTTCAACCAGCAGTGTTTCATGAATTTTCTATATTATTGCTTTAGATGTTAAGGACTGAAACGAATCTACAAATAGTTAGACATTGATAAGTCACAATAATTATTTGAGATAGGTGGAAGAATAGTACACAATCTGAGGTGTAGTTACTAGTTAGTTACCATCTCTGCCGAGAGTATAGCATTAGCCTTGACCCCAGCAAGCAAGAAAGAGAGAAGGTCAATCCAATTGCGTATGAAAGGGTCTTTCAGTTGCAAATCATCAAGTATTTCTGAGAAAGGTCTGAGAAGTTTTGTAGCTCCAAGAGCACCACGAGGCCCCATCTGAAGAAAGGATCTAAAGAGAGAAGGGGCATATCTAACTGCAGCAGTGGAAAGAACACCCAAGTCTCCTCGGATAGATAGAGGGGGAAGACCCATTGCAGCTGTGGATAATGGAAGTACAGCATCCTGCCAAAGAAATTACAGTTCAACAGCTTTTTAACATGCTTGCATTCGCAACATCACAATTGGGATTTGGATGCGACAACTCACTAGAAGTTTTTGCCATTCATTTACAGCATTGGGACCCGCATACTTGTCAAGGTCCTGCAAGTAACACATACAAATCAAATCAGTGAAAGTAGGTATTGCAACAAGAATGAGTGAGTGATTTAGATAAATCAAATAAGCCTGAGGCTGAATTCCACCTTGAAAAATTCCGTAGGCCCAATGCGCGACAAGAATTCACCTTCAGGTATGTAGACCATCCATGAATCATAAGAAGCACATGGAAGAGACTCGCCCAACGCATCCAGAACCTGAAACAGATGGATGGTGAAGAAATTCAAAACATGAAAAGGAAGAAATGAATTATTAATTATGATTGTATTTCTTTGGTTTCGTTTGTACATTGCATTACCTGTGCCAGGGGATTAGCCTGAGGGCCCCTTGATTGCAAACCAGAGAATAAAGATGGCCCAGAATCAAAGTTGTAGCCTTTGACATGAAAAGAATGGGCAGCACCACCGGGTTGGTCGTGGCTTTCCAGAACAAGCACATCTTCCTCGTATCTTGCCAGAAGTGCTGCACAACACAGTCCACCAATGCCACTCCCAATAACAACGACATCAGCTTCTGACTTCGACTTTGACATCGACTTCGACTTCACATCCGCAGGCACAGCGTTTTGATATGAACTGTTATATCTCACAAAATTAGGAAACAAACCCACACCCGCCATGCTTGCTATCTATGTGCCAAATGCAAACTCTCTTCTCTTCTAATCCTCAGTTCAAATTGTAGTCGTTAAATTAGCCACGTCACTGCCAACTTAATTCGTTACAATATATCTCTTTCAACCAAATATTATTCTTTGATTAACCATTTACAACCTTTCGTGTGTTTCTCCAATCAAAGGTGATGATGATGAGTCAGTTTTATATTTTATCATTTTAAGTTTTTTTTTTTAAATTAAGATTTTATTTTTTAATTTTAAAAATTCTCCTTATTTAATTTTATTCCTTATCATAGAATATTTATTATTTAAGATTTTGTACTCACAAATTATATATAAATATTGATATAAAGAATTATATTAAGTGAAATATTTTTAATTAAGTGTTATTATTTTTAAATTTTATCATGTATCTTTTCTTATATTTAATATTTAGCTTTTTAATTCAATTTTGTTTTAAATTTTAAATTATTTTTAAGTTTGAAAAATAATTAAATATAATTCTTAAATATCAAAGTTGCTATAAATTGTTAAAAATTATAAATCAAAAGAATTATTCATATTAATTTTTTATACATAGTTTTTCATAAAAATTATTTAATAGTTATTCATAACAGAATAAAATATTCTAAAATAAAGCACTCATGTATTGCACGGGTTATTAACTGGTTAATAAAAGAGAAGTCTTTATAAAATTAGTTTGCAACTTCACATGAGTTTTCAATCACTAAACAATTTATTCGAGAAAGATATAACCAGAAAAACGAATATATACATCGTAAATTAGATAGAATATCATACTTGCACTTAATCTTATAATAATTAAATATCAAAGTTCACTATAGGTTATATGTTCTTAAAAGTCATAATAAAAATTATTTACATTAATTATTTATGCATATTTTCTATAAAATAATTATTTAAAAGTTATTTGTAACATAATAAAATATTTTAAAATAAAGCATTTATATATTACACATGTTACTAACTAGTTAATAAAAAAAAGTCTTTACAAAATTAGTTTATAATTTTATAAAGCTTTTAATTGTCAATACATTATATATATATATATATATATATATATATATATAATAAGAAAGCAAGTATATACCTCCTAAATTAAAATACATGGCATGAAGTGCAACTTAAGCAAAAATTATCAACACTTTCTTATTTAAAACAATTGTGTTGATTAATTTGAAAAAAAAATAAAAATAAACTCATTCATAGTAGACTTTTACAACTCTTACGTTTAGAAATAGTTAGTAAAAACATTTAGTTCACGTATCAAGACATCACATGACAACATGCAAAAGAATGGTCTTCTTGTATTTGGTATGTTAAATAGTAAAGTGAAAGATCGTTTTGCAACAAATTAGAGTAGATTCATATTTTAGATACTCACTTATATTTGAAGGATATTTAGATTAAATACATGTGAAACTTAGAAAATTTATATACCTTTTCGACTAAATAGGTCAAATGAATACTCCTTAGTCCAATAAACTTTTTGATATCAATGACTCCTAATAAGTGATTTTTTAAAAAAATTAAATTTAAAAAGGTACCCAACTAGTGAATATGCTTAGCTACTCAAAAAATGATGAATTAGAACTGTAATTATACATGGTCTTGATATTGAGAGCAAATATTAAAAATTAAAATTATTAATTTTTTATTATTATTATGAGAAGTATTAACTAGTAATCATTTCAAATTCAGAAGAAACATAGCAAACATTACTACTTGGTACAATAACATGAATGAATCACTCCTTTATTCCTTACAAAATTGTCTATTGTTTAGGATAATTTGATTATTGTTAAACTTTTTGTTATCTATCAAACTTCTTAACTAAAAATGTGAAATAACATATTACTTGTTTGCTCACATGTGATATGAATAATAGATTTTGTGTTAAAAGAACAATTTCTTGAATTTGTGTGAAACAGGCATAAATAATTAGTATCAAATATATGGAAATTAATGCAAAAGTCTTGAATTTGCTCAATATTTATGTATATATGAATATAAAATTAATTAATTTTGTAGACATAATTTATATAATAAAAAAAATTTAATGTAACAATTAATTATATGATAAAATATCAAATAAAAAATTATTAAATAATATCAATGTGTAAGTTTAACTTTAACTTGCACCAAGTTAATCCTCTTACAAAAATAAGAGCATCAATCAATTTATATAAAATATTTTTTATTCAATCATTAATCATAACTGTGAATTATTTTAATTATGTTAAATTTTATCAAGATTAAATAATTACAACAATATAATTAAAGAGATCTTATTTTTATATATTAAAAATTTATATATTAAATTAATCCTAATGCATATTAATAAAAACTCAAATAATTTAAAGTTAATTAAAAATCTTATAAACATGATATAGATAATAAAATATTTTTATTTAATGATTAATTTTATGATAAAATTATTCAATAAAATATTATTAATTAGTATGCAAAATATCAAGACTTCAAGCCTACGAGTAGAAAATGACATAATGGACTTTTATTTACAGAATAAATGTTTTTTTAGTATGTTTGAAGCCTTTCTCTACAATTTTATGTCAAATTAAAATTTTAAGCAAATACATTTTTCTTTTAAAACATAACACAACATGACGTCATTAATACTTATAAAAACTGACATTAATATCATCTTATGACCTGAATCTTCATTAGATCCATACATAATAAAATATTTTTATTTAATAATTAATTTTATGATAAGATTATTCAATAAAATATTATTAATTAATGTACAAATAAATATTATTAATTAGCATGCAAACTATCAAGACTTCAAGCCTACTAGTAGAAAATGACATAATGGACTTTCACTCACAGAATAAATGTTTTTTTAGTATGTTTGAAGCTCTACAATTTTATGTTAAACATAGCACATGACGCCATTAATATTTATAAAAACTGACATTAGTATCATCTTATGACCTGAATCTTCATTAGATCCATACATAATAAAATATTTTTATTTAATGATTAATTTTATGGTAAGATTATTCAATAAAATATTATTAATTAGTGTACAAATAAATATTATTAATTAATATGCAAACTATCGAGTAGAAAATGACATAATAAACTTTTACTTACAGAATAAATGTTTTTTTAGTATATTTAAAGCTTTTCTCTACAATTTTATGTAAAATTTCAAGCAAATACAATTTTCTTCAAAACACAACACAACAAACAACATGACGCCATTAATACTTACAAAAACTGACATTAATATCACGTTAGATCCATGCATTGAAGTGGTAATTATGTCCTTTTAATTATGACCAAAAAAATTTACATCAGCTACCTTTAATAGTAAAATATTTCGGAAAAAACTAGACATATCAGAACAAAAGTATGTCAAAGTTTAACTTTGTACGACTATTTTTCAATAAAAATTTAGTTAACATAAAAACAGAACAAAAAAAGGCATTCTTTTTACTTTCGAGGTATGTTTCTTAAATACATGTATACAAAAAGATAAAAGAAAAAAATGAAATAAAAAAATGTATACACCCTTTTTCTACGGCAGCTCAATCAGTTCATAACCAAATGAGGAAGCAGCAAAGGAGCACTTGGGATTCTCCGTTTCCTGCTTCTCGCCGTCTGTAATCGATAACCTACGACCCATGGCTTCTCCGAGGGGAGAATAAAAAAAAAAAACGAATCCATGTAATCTCACACATGCTTATATTCAACATAAAAATATAGCACTTGTATATTGTCTTGCTATCATTAAAATTAAGGTAAAAAATCGAACATTATAAAGTTTCGATGTAGCTCAAATCAAAGTTCGGCTAACACTTCACTGTTACTGAAATAGGAAAGAGAAAAGAAACCAAACCCTACCAAAAACGAAGACACATGATAAAAGCAGACTCTTTCAAGGAGTATTTTCACTTAAAGCACTTGGCATCCAAAAGGGCCTCACCCTCAAAGGGTTCACAATCCTCAATCATCTGATTGACGCGCTCCTTTTGGGCTTCGTCCGAGATGTCAACCTTGGTCCATTCATAGAGTTCCATGTCATAGCATTCATCAATCACAAATTTTGGGATTTCTTGCCCACGGAAAAGCCACAACCCCTTCACCTTAAATGGTGGTTCTGCTCCAATCACAAGCATCTTTCCAAATGCGTACTTGCGGGCCAAATCCATCCGCTGAAGAAATCCACTAACCTTATTCAATGTCACAAAGGAAACAGTGTTCTCATCATTGTATTTATAATCACAGAACCAGAGAGAGTATCCCTCAGGATCATACATGTCCCAAAATCCTGCAAAATAGAATGGAAGATTTTATATGATTAACCTCTCCATGTCATATAAAAATTTTCAAATTCTTGGATAGAATATTCATAATCACTAATGTTTGTAATGGATATAAGCTACCACCATAATCCTAATTTTGCAAAAATTTAGAACAATGACCCAAGGGGGTCATAATAACAATACCTTTTATCGCAACCTGCCTGAAGTTGGTTTTAGTGTTTGAATAAAGTCGTTTCCAATCATCCAGTATCATCGTACTTGGAGGGAGAAGATCAAGGGGATTCTTGGGTTTGGGCTTGGGTGCCTCCTCTTCTGCATCTTCTTTGGGCTTTTCCGTTTCCTTGTTAGCCTCTTTCTTAGCCTCCTTCTTTGGTTCATCCTTTACCTTGGGCTTGGATTCTTTTGGCTGGGAAGGCTTCTTCGCAGATTGAACAGGTGGAATAGCTTCAGTCTGCTTGACCTGACCAAATATCTTTCGGAAGTTTGGCTGATTGACCAAGGTCCAAAAGTATCTCTCAACATGAGGAAACTCTGAGGTGAAGCTCTTGACTAAGATTTTTGTGAAACCAGTATACAAATTGCATGTCATTATGATGTCAGCCAGGGTCACAGAATGCCCAACCAGGTAAGTATTGGAGGCAAGGTGAGTGTTCAAAGCACCCAGAGCTCTCTTCAGTGCAGAAATTGCAGCCTCTTCAGCCTTCATTCAGACACATAATTAAGATCAGACTAATATCTGGGTAATATGATGTTAACAATCTTGAAGAACATAATGCACTGACTGTGATCAGATGCATAGGACATATATCCATTTTCAATGCACAGTTCAATTGCACCATCACTTCCTATTATCGTCGACTGATGATACCATGAACAATTGAACTAACACATCTTATACTTGACAACAGGATAAAAGAACTAAACTGAGATTTGCATGGAGGTTCAACGTGAAGTTGTTAGACCAGATTTTCCAAATTACAAACCTATTTAGCATAAAAAATTTCTTTGTACAAAACTTACTGGAGGAAGGTATGGGACTAGTCCCAGTCTCGGGTAGTACCACTTATTAATATTAGCATCAATCTCCAGTGATGAAAAATCAATCCATTGCTCAACATGGGCCTGAACATTAAAATATTAAAAATATAAGCACAAAAGATAATACCAACACAAGCAACCTTTCCTAAAGTGACATACAGTATGACTAATCTACTCCAACAATAAACATTTTTTATGATAATTTGGAGGAGGAAACAGACTCACGTATTCAATCAGAGAAGATCCATACAAAGTGTTATCGCCCTTCACTCGAGTAACTGCAGCAAATCAACAACCCCAACAAAAATAAATAAATCCGAATAATCCATATAAACCATAACACATCCAATGCACGAGAATAATAGTATATGAACAAGATTGAATTAGCTTATGGAAACACCTAACATGCGGTCTCAGGGTTTCAAAATGATGAATGAGACACACTATATACTTACCATAGCGAGCAATGGCATTGCTCTCAAATACTGGACCTTCAGGTGTTTCCAACACAGGAACCTGGAAGAATAATTATGCAGATATAAGACGAAATCAAAGTCGGTTTTCCATCCGTGTTATAGTATAGACAAGTGGATAAACATGATACCTTGCCAATAGGATTCATCTTGAAAAATTCAGGTGTTTTATTAGAGACACCCATCTCAAAATTAGGGGCCAATTGAACCTGTACGCCCGTATACTCGGCTGCAATGAGCGACTTGTAAGCATTTTTGTTTGATTTCCCAGCATGCAGGATCTAGAGAACAATCCGTTAGATGGACAGATAGTAGAAAAAAGCATAAAGTAGATATCAGGAAGTAGTGAAATGATGTGAGCAAAACCAAATGAGAAAATTTGAAACAAAAAAAAGTAGTGAAATGTTATGATTGCTGGTGAGGTGCTGCCCCATATATGATGGAATATTGATTAGTGAGTGATTGTGACTTTCCTTTCCCTGACCTCTAAGTCTAAATATAAAAGAAAGTAAGTAGGATCATGCAAAGGAAAAAGCAGTGTTAGATATGATTTGAATTGTGAGACTAAGACTCACCAGCGCCATGGCTCGAAGGAAAAAACTGCCCCTCTTATTTAAGATCTGGACCTGCTCATCGATCGAAAATGGAAATGGAAATGGAAATGAAATGAAATGAAATGAAATACTGAAACAAAAGTAGAGTAAGAAGCGACATAAGATCTTACAGTGCAAGCGCCGAGCGTTGTTCCGAAGCACAAGTGTTTTCAGATCCAAACTCCTATCATCTTTATTAGGGTTTAGTAGCTATGACTCACCGGGTCGGACCATTTCCACCCGACCTTTTTTTATTACAATTAATTCTGCAGATTATCACATTAACTGTAATTTTATTTTATTCTATTCCCACCGTTCCCTTCTTCTAAAAACTTTGTATTTCAGCATTTTCTACCCAATAAAAAATATTATTATCACGATCATTTAATATATCAATTGTTAAATAATTATGTGAATCATCGTATTAATATATATATATATATATTTTCAGACGCACTGATGAGATTTTTATTTATTTAAAAAATATATTTTAAGTATTTATATTTAAAAAATTAATAAAAAATTATTTTTTTTTAATTTTAAGATAAAATTTATTTTCTCCTTCTAACTTTTTTTATTTATTTTTGTTCTTAAAATATATTTTTTTTACGTTAGTCATTTTCATTAACTCTGTTACATAATCTACCAGAAACGTTCTACGTGACATTGAAATGATATTTTATTTATTTAATTCAACATAAATTTTTTAATTTAAAAAAAATAAAAAAAGTGAAGTAATGCTGAGTTGTAATTTTTCCTTTCCACAATCTCTCTTTTTCCTTCCTCCCTACAGCCCCTTCTCTTCCCCTTCCTTCTCCTGCAGTTCCATCACTATTTTCCCCTCAACCCACAAGCTCTATTTTTCTCGCAGCATTGTCTCTTCCTTTTCGCAGTCTCCCTCCCTTACTTCCAGCTCCTCCATATTTTTTCTCAACCCATCAACTTTGTCTCTTCATTACCGCAGTCCCCCTCCCTCTCCTTCATTCTCCCATAGTTTCTTCCACCCATTTCCACAGCCCACCAACATTATCTTCTCCTTCTTGCAGCCCTCTTCCCCTCCCATTCCTTAATGTCAATTGGCGAGAATGCTTCAATGTAGGAATTCTTACATCATAAACAAGCTTGCTAGTGTTCTAATTTATTTATTAGTATTACAAAAAATTGTATTAAATGAAGAATTTCTTACATTATAATATAAAATTTTGTTAGGTTTCTCAGTTGTCATTTTACTTGAAAAAAATTTTCAAGTTTAATTTCATAATTATCATTTTTGGGTATAGAAAAAGGTCTATCTATCATGTTAAAAAACATACTTATCTTACAATTGCAGCCTTGTCTTCCTCTTTTTCGCTAACTAAATAAAAAATTATCTCCAAAATTTTATTCCAAACATCTATTGAATTACTTGGTTTATAGAATAAATTAACAAAGTACCAACTTATGCCTAATTATTAATTATAAAATTGATTTACACAATACATCCATTATGCTCCCTCTCTCTCTCAGAATTTAAAGATTGCAACTTTTCACTCTATTACTTATTAGGTTGTTTTAAATTTATATCAAACTCTAAATTTTATTACTTTTTATGTATAATTCTTTCATTTTTTGTGAAATATAAATCTCCTATTATTTTATTGTTGATTTGTGTTATTGATAATGCTTTACTTGTCGGAAGAGGAAATAAGGTTGGTAGGTTCGAGAGAAAAGGTGTCAGAATTGTGAGAAAGGAGAGGGAAAGTTGTGAAAAGGGAAGAGTGAGTTGCAAGAAGGGGAGATAGGGCTGGTGGGTTGAAGATTTGGGAGGAAAGAAGTTGAGAAGCTGCTTAAAGATAAAGGAGAAGTGGAGTAGTTGCATTTTTTAATTATTTTTTAAATAAAAAAGTTTATATATAATTAAACAAATAGCCTTAAGAAGCTTCAGCGCCACGTATAACGTTTTTGTTAAGTTATGTAATAAAACTAATAAAAAGGACTAACATGAAAAAAAAAATACTTCAATGACAAAAATAAATAAATAAAATTAAAAAACAAAAAGAAATTTCATCTTAAAGTTAAGTGACGAATAAAGCAATTTTGCTAAATAAATAATATAAATTAGAAAGATCTAATATTTAAATAATATAATATTATCATGATAATAAAATGTAATACAACATATTAAATATTAAAAATTGTGGATTAAAAATTGAAATATAAATTCACAATTTTCTTTTATTTATAATTTCATTTTATTGTGATGTATACAACACACTTACGTAATCAGATTCATTTATTCTAAAAATAAAATGTACACCCTATAATTTGATAATGTTTTACTTAATGAATTGAATAAATTTAATATTTAAATCATATGATATTATACATTTAGTATATGACAGAGGCAAAGCTTTTATAGAGTTTAAAAACTATTTTAACGCTTAAAATAAAACAAGAGTTTTCAATTAAAAAATATAATTATGTGCTAGTTTTATATTATTTTAAAATTAAAAGTTACCTTCAAGTAAACCTTAGAAATATATTCTCTTCACCATATCAAAATTTTCTACAAAGAAATGTTTAAAACCCCTTCACCTTATCACTCTTCTCTATTTAACTGAAGACACTGCACCGTTCTCACCAATTTTACCAACATTTGCTATATATAAATCCTCTTCAATAAAATATATTTTTAAATTAGATCTTAAAATTTGGAAGAAAATATTTTTGAAGAAATTAAATGTATAATTTCAGCATTTTAAGTATACTGTAATTAATTGATTAATTTTTTAAGTCATGTGTTTAATTGTTTTGTGATTAATTAATGCAATAATAAAAAATATTTTTTTATTTAATGAATTAATTTACTGCAATAAAATAATGAAAATCAAAGATGATTTAAATTTATTTTATTCATGTAATTAAATTATCAATATCTTTAAATGATTTCTATTATTATGGTAATCAATAATAATTCATCAAGTAATAATATAAAAAATTTAAATTACATTAATCGTAATATATTTAAAATGCTAAAAACAGGCACTTGATCAAACATTTTCATTCCCTTTTCCGCTAATATCTTACTTCAAATCTTGAGAATATGATAATTTTAAATTTCATCATCTCAGTATGGTAAAAGAAACTTAATTTTATATAAATTAAAAATTATAAAACCATTAGCAATTAAAAATAGGTGATAAAGTAAGACTAAGGTCAGGGATTAAATAATCTATAAATTTTACAAGTTATGTTACAAAGAATCATGCATAATGGAAGATTATGATAATATTGAAAACCAAAAGACACAAGCTATCACACCTACAAACACCTAACACATTGCTATATAGTGCTTATTTATTATGGTTATAGATCTTTATAATTATAAAGATAGAAATTATGAAGTATACTTAAACTCAGAATATTAAAAAATAAAATAAAATATTTCCAGTTTATAGACTTGACTCGAAAAAAATTGCAGAGTCCAAACACAAAATCTTCTATTAAATAAATCGACCTTACACGGGATAATCAAGTTTTTAGTTATGTATTTAACTATAAATTATAGTGATATAATAAACATGAAATAGATTAAAAAATAATCATAAACAAATTACATATAGTATAATATATAAATTATTTTGAAACGAAACTAATAATCAAAAGAATATGTATCATTAGGAAGGATGTATACGACTAAAACTATTCAAACATTTGAAATAGAAATTTTAGAAACGGGGAAAAGAAAAGTTGTGGGGATGGTGAAGGAAAGAAAAAAAGTTACAAGAAATTCCCGAGCAAAAGCAATATACCTAGGATTAGGAGACAAAAAACGAGAATAAAAGCCTTATTGAATCTAAACACTATACAATCAGTTTCCTTTCCCACAAAAAATGATAATCTGTCTTTACTCTTCTTCACGGTCCAATAACTTGCGTTGGGGATCGCATAGGCCAGCCTAGAGGAGGGGTTGCATGTCGACTGGGAGAGAAGAGGCTTAGTTCAACAAATGTAGCTGTAGAAGTATCATCCTTTTCCAACGTCCGAAACGAAATTGAGCCACGTTTTGCTGATGCATCAGAATACCTACGGGGACTAGACCCAGCATCGTCTTCTTCCAGGTGACTCTGGTTAGCAATAAGAGACACGGTTTCATTATGATCAACGTTGAATCTCCAAGCTCCCAACTCTTGTAAATTTCCGAGCGCTAAACAATCTGCAACTGGACGGTATACAAGCATGCACATGCACACCCCAGCACAACATACAAGGGCAAGAAAAGCCAAGAATGCAAAAGCTTCAAACATAAAATGTTCAGGTCCAGACAAAACAGATAAACCAAGGAAAAGAACCCTTAATGGAAGGAACCCTGAAACTGAGAGTATCAATGTGTAAATCCTCTTCTGCAAACCCTTATTAATAACTAATTTCAAAATCCGATTTCCAAGCCAAAAAAGGTAGGAGGTCAGGATAATGACAAAAAGGCCAAGGAGAAGAGTACTTAGTAAAGGGTAAGTACAGAGGGCAATGTCATGCTCCCTAGTAAATGAAGAGGCAGCAGCTGTACTGGTAAAATAATGAGGCAGTTTTTTCCCTGAACCCTTATTCTTGTTCAACTCAGGTCCAACCAAAATTACAAAAAGTTGAAGAACAAAAACTGGGAAGCAGTAAAGCAGAATATATCCTGCTGTCTTCCCGTTCCACTTTCTGCTCATAATTCCACTCTCCAATTTCTGTAAGGGTGCACGAAGAAGAAACACAAGTGTGAGGAAGAGACACGGTTCTGCAAACCCCAGATTTGATACAATGTAACATTTGCAGACCGTTTCCTGCCATTTTAAGTGAAGGGCTCGTCTTAACAAACTTAAACGAATAATCTCACCCACACCCCACCAGAATGCAAATAGGATGAATGTGATTCTAATGATCCAAGGACCACTAAAATAACTCAGCTGAACACAACTCTGAAGATGATGAATTCGAGATCGAAAATAACATGAGTATACAATACACAACAACCCAAGAAGAAGCAATATGGCTACGAAACAAATTGTCACCACATCGAACGCATCGGCAGCAAATCTCGTCAGGGGCATTACCCGAAGTACAGATTCCAAGCATGCTCTCTAATAGCATGGGCACAAAAATTCCTCTGATGCTCCAGAATTGAACTATAACTGACTCAGTTCCAAATATTAATAATTAACTCTGAGTAGATGACAACGAAGCTCAAAACTGGTATGCTGTCGGAGTCGGACCAATTATTCAATTCAAGTACCTATATATCCAGATAAGTAAAGCATAAGTAACATTGGGAGTCGATTACTCGGATTTGAATGGCAACTGAATATAGAATTTCATTTGGTATCTAACTAAGATTTGAATTAGCAAACAAAAAATTTCTAAACAAACACGCCGAAAACAAAAAAATTAAAACGACGACGAAGTGGAATAGTGTGTGAATGAACGCTCACATTTTCAATACAAGGGTGGAAACACCAAATTGAGAAAGGTACAAAATTCATTAATCATTGGCAGAGAGTTAAGGGTGCATCGTTGATAGGTAGGAAAAGAATACTAATGCATTGAATCATTTGAATTAATATGCAAAAGTAATCAGAATCAATTAACAAATTGCAGAGAACACTAACTTGAAGAAAATAAAGAGTTAAGAGGTGAACGGGAAGAATGGAAGACATGATAGTGATTCTGGCAGGTGATATGGAAAGGAACAACGGTAGATGTGGCCATAATTTTGATTTGATTTGAATCTGGTTTGCACGACTTAATGGAAAAAAAAAAAAAGGAAAGCGAAAGCAAAAGATGGAGAAGAAAGAATGAAGGGAGAACTTACAGAGAGGATTAGATGGATCTAGCGTCCAGAGAGGCGAATGATTGAATGAATGAATGAAGGAGAAATGAGAAGTGAACGTTGGCTTCCCCTGTGGCTGTGCGCTGTGCAATTCCCATACATCTTGTTTACAGCCTGTCTCCAGCTGTCTCAGCTCTCAGCACACTGCCGCCTTTTCTCTTTCTTCTTATATTCTATTTTCTCTCTCTTCTAACACTAAAAATAATTATCATTATTTTTATATACTTAAATAATAAAACCATTTTTCTAACAAATATTTCCATTTATTTCACAATACGACAAAGCTACAGTTTCTTTTTTACAGATTGTGACAGCTGGAAAATCAAACTACATCTACGTTGAGTAAAATTTTCGTTTGAATCACACGCACGACAATATTTTGTGTTCCCTTTGCTAGAGAAACATTTGGCACATCATTTCTTCACATACAATATCGAACACATGATACATGACAAGTATGCGTGTCTTGAAATCCGTCTGCAACATTGTCTAATATAACAGTATATTTGTTTCGGATCAAAATATAGAGGATAAAATATCAGCTTTTTTTTTTTTCAATTTTATACATTATAATATAATATATAACAGATAGATAGATTATTATTTTTGGTGTATACTAAAGATATTTCTAGTTGACAATTAATTTTTTTAGACAAAGAGATCATCAAAGTAGTTTTTTTTTTACAATAAAATATTTCATCTAATAAAATTTAGATCATTTAGTGTTTAATTTATTAATTTTAGCTTTTTTTATCCTTGGAAAGAGAAATTAGACTAAACAAAAAAAATTAAGAAGAACCTTAAAAAATGCAATTTTGTTAATGAAGAAAAATATATTTAATCATTTTATTTAATTATTTGGTAATTAATTACTGCAATAATAACAATTAATTTTATATTTAATAAATTAATTACTGCAATAAAATTAATTTAAATGATCGATGTATACTTACTATAATTTTAACAATATTTCTTTATTATAGATTGAAAAATATTAAATAGTACCTTTAAGACATCACTAGTTTATGAATTTAAAGTGAGATGATAATTAAAAAAAAAAAACATTGTTATCCTGTAATATTTAAGGCAATCATAATATCTTTTAAAATAAACTTGTTTATTTATAATTTATTACTTATTTTTCCATTATACAAGTATTAATAAATAAAATATTTTTAATTAAAAAATATTGCATGATATTTTAATTTTTAAAAATAAAAAAGTATTTTTGTTTATTATTAGCTTTAGTATATAACTTGTACATATTAATTTTTAAATTATAATATTTTCAGAGCATTTTGTTTTCTATATTTTAAAAATATCACTCACGAGTTTATATATAAACGTTGACGTGAAAAGCTCAATATTTAATCTAAATAAAATTTACTTACAATGATAAAAATCGAAATTAACCCCTAACTTGTTTCCCATAATATTTTTACAAGCTAATGGTTATTTATCTTAAAAAGTGGGTTAAGAACTCCATCTCTAATAATAAATCTGTTTCAAGTTGCTTTAATTTCATTTTATTATTTTTATGTAAGTCCTACAATAACATGTTAATTATTGTTTTATTATGTTGTTTAAGCAATTCTTAAACTATTTCATATCTTATATATTATCAATATTTATTTTTATTTTTAACTTTTTTGTCGGATTCCACAGTTTATTATTAAGCAATAGTCGCTTAAATAAGTAGTTGTAGCTATTATGTTCTTCACGTCAACTAAGCTCTGTTGCATAATTTATATAAACAACAGTTGCTTTTTTATATAAAGTAGTCAAGCACCTTCCAGTTGGAGTTAACTAGGTGTGTTAATTTATTCAAAGAATTGAAAAAACATTAATAAGTTAATCTTTCACATAAGCGATGGTAGTTTATTTAAAATTCATTGGACATATATGAGTTGTCATTTTAAATAAAGAATCGTTCTTTATCTAAGTAAAATTGCTCAAGCTGAAAACCAACAAAAAGTGGAACACTTGATATCACTTTTAAAAATAAAATTAAATGTTGATGACATATAAAAATGTGGAATAATTCGTGCATTCATTTAATGAATTTGAAGAGTTGCAAGGTTAGAGTTAAAAGTTGCTTAAATAACTATAAAAAATTAATATTGTATTTTGTTATGAACCTACATAAAAATTAATAAAACATAATTTAAACAACTTATAAGATTCTTACCATGAAAATACTAGTCTAGTTAGAAGAATATTTGTAACTTTATTTAATAAATTTTGTTATGAAGCATGTAAATAATTTTGAATGTATCATAATTTAAAATGAAGTTCATATTAAGTCTATTGGCCAAGTTTAAGTTATTAAACTGGAAGAGAAATAAAGTTTTAGTTCTAAAAAGCTTAATATAGCCTAGTTTAATTCCATTGTTGTAAAAAAAAAAATAGAAATTAATAATTTGTAAATATAATAAACGAGAGAGATAAGTATATTTAAAATCTATAAAAAGATTAATACAAATAAAGATAATATGATAAAAATATATATTTTTTTTATAAAAAATAAAAGACTAAATCAACAAAATCAATAAAAATAAATAATTCTGTTATATTTTTTATAAATATAAATTTTATTTTAAAAATACCCATAATATTAAACAGTGTAATTAGTAATTTATATATTTAATGATACTAATAAAAAAAGAGTATAAAAGAAATTTAGTAATTAATACATTTTGAATCTATTATTTGTTTGTTATAATAAAGACCAAGAAAATGCTCTATTTTATTTTTTATAAAAAAGATAAAAATAAAAATAAAAAGTTAAGTAACTTTAAATAAAATACAAGAGAATTAGCATATCTAATAATAATCTTTTTAAAATTACTTAAATTTTATTTTATAAATTTTTACCTGAATCTTATAATAACACTATTTTTTTATGTTTTTTTTATTATTTAAGCAACTTTCAACTTCAAATCATATATTATCAGCTTTTATATTAAATGAATCCTACCACAAATCATTTCGCGTTTTTATGTATTATAAACATTTATTTTTATTATAAATTTTGTTGTTTAGTCTCAAAAACTTCTATAAGCAAGAGTTGCTTCATTAAGCAACGTAACTTATTGTTTTATATTATCCATGCACCTCTCATTAAAAACGTTCATTAAATTAAAAAATATAAGAGATGAAGTTCGAAAACATAAAACTAGACAAGAATAATGCGTAATTTAGCTAAGATAATAACTGCAAAGGACACATTTAAAAAAAGCAAAGGGAGTAAGGTGTAAATAATTTGAAAAGGATGGAATAAATGGTAACTGTATTTAATTAAAATGAAAAGGCAAAGTAAAGGGAGTAAGTCAGATTAATTACGGTTAGTTGGCGTCGTAACTCGTAACTGTGGGTCCATTAGTTTTGGGAGTAAGTATTGGAAAAATAGGTGGCAAACGCGGCCAGTTATTGACAGGGCTGGGGAAAACATGCAACGCAAATGGGGTTTGAACTGAGGAGGGAATTTGCACTCTTCCAGATCTGTCATTTTGTAATTGTAATTTCGCTGCGTGTGTCAGTTAAAGATTAGTGTTTGGAGTTAAAAATAAAGATTTGTTAGCGTAATTGTTGGATCCAATAGAATACGCCCTGCCAGGTCCTCTCTCTCTCTCAACAGTCAAACGCAGCATAATAACAATAACTCTAATACTGCCGCAGATTGAATTCCACTCCACTATTGTTCCTTTCGCAGGTACGTATTGTGTGGACTTGATTCTCTTCGATCTAGTATCATCACTTTCCGTTCTAATACTGCCACTGCCTCTGCGTTTCTTTAATCTCCCCATGCAATATTTTCATTTGTTGTTGAAGGAGATGATGTTATATCTTTTATTCACAGTTTGAATGTCAGCATAATTTACTGCTCCCTCACCAAATCTTTGTTTAATACAGTGAAGATGGTAGAAAATGGTTTTGTTGAAGACGACAGCATAACCAGAAAGTCTTCTAGCAAAAAGGTAGAGTTTATGGTTTATTTATAGTGATCATGTGTTATTTAAACTCTTGTGCGTCCAGTGTGACAATCACCTGCCTTTGGAACATCCATTCGATTTTTTTTCACTCTCTTGTTGAACTGTTTATACATACCTTGTGTTTTTTGCCTACACTGTTTGAATAGCATTTTAAATTTAATGTCATGAAAGCATTTGAGGCTTTAAAAATTGAAGCGATTATCAAAACTGTATCAAACTAGTTCTGTTATGGATGTTAACGTTAAATTCAATGTTCCTGACCTAGGGGCTGATATAATCATTACACCACTCTTTGAGTGTGAAATTTGATATTACTTTACAATGTAGAAGCTAATTAAGTTTCTCTTCCTAGAACTTAGAGCATTTAAATAAGTGGATTAGATCTTGTCTGAAGAATATAGTAATTTATCTGAAGTTAGTATCCGGTCCAGAAACCTAATGATCAGCATGATTTAAAAATTGTATGGCCTTATTCTATTGTTAGTTTTGATCTGGTTTATTTAGTAATTGCGATTTCAAATTAAGTCAAATGACTCAGAACTGATAAATGTGAGACTTCTGAAATATTTACTAACAACTTATTTGAAATTTAGTTGATCCTATTATAATTTCAAGATCTGGCAGATAACTTTGGTGATTATTTTTAAAGATCCAACACTTTTCACTCAAAAGAAACTTCTCAAATTTGATGATTAAGTCCGTGATAGAGATTCTACCTCATTTTTTTTATGCCTGATTCTAACGCCTGTTTTTATGCCTAATAAAGGTTGACCCAGGGAAACCTCCTGGACTTACGTGGCAGCGAAAATTAAACAACGAAGGAATTGCTCTAGTAGAATTCACCTTATCTTTAAAAGAGATAATTCATCTGGTAAACCTACTTTTGCAAAATGAAAAGTTCCCCCCTTTAATTGTTTACTTGTGATAAGAAGAAAATATAAGTTCAATTATTTGGTAACAATATAATATTATAATTGCAGCATAATCCTTGGTTGTGCATGTGATGAACTTCTCCCTGTGGTCATATCATTGGGAACATTTTATTCATGGACTTCATCGATTGTTAATCATACTCAACTTGTCTCAAATATTTATAAAAATGTTGATACCCTAACATTCAACGTACCTTTATTTTCTGGAGGAAAAAGTTAATATCTAACACAACAAAATTTTATACAAGAATTTAAATCTCAAGGCACTGAGTTCATTTCTGTTTTAGGACAAGACCCTTCAATGTCACTTCCCCATTGAAACACTTTGATGCTTTGCTATATTATCCCTACTTGGGTATACAATATATCAACTTTTTTTTACACCTATTGCTGTAGTATATTTAGAAGTAGGAACATCAGGAATTTTTTAAGATTAGCAATCCTTTGACTATTAATTGATTTGATAGGCTCCAATTGGTTATCGGCTATGGCGCCATGTACGTGAAGAAGCTGCCAAAGGAAGGGTAATTTTGTTTCAGTAATAAATTTCCCTATTATATTGATTTGTGCTTATGAAGCATCCATCTGATTATCTTTCTTGAAATTTCTTCTGCTATTGTTTGTTGTTTCTATCTTTCATGCAGGGGGGATTGATTGATCCTTTTGCCAAGCGTTATGTAACATCTTGTCATGGTGTACCTTTAGGTGGTATCGGGTAGGTCTTCTTCAATCCTTTTGTAAGTAAGAATTTATCTTCCATTTGCTAAAGCCAAAAGATCAGTATGTTTAAATCAACCACTCTTGTTTATACTAGGCCATTCTCATCAAATAGTAATTCAGTAATTGTACAAGGGAGAGATTATAGGATATGCTATGGAAATTTACAGCAGATTTATAGGGAAATAAATCAACTCCTAAAATTAGGGTCTATAAGTCTGTACATAGTAATTAAATAGTACAGTGATAAAGAGGTTAAAAAACATGCGATTAAACTGTGACAATTTGGATAATAGGATGTTACAACATCATTAGTATCTAATCTATATTTGCTTGATTTGAGTATGTCCAGAACATTTTATGATAATATGCATTGCTTTTGCTGTTGACAAACTAATCTCCAGTGCAGGAAGCATTGGAAGAGGTTTCAAAGGTGAATTTCAGCGTTGGCAACTATTCCCTAGAATATGTGAAGAGAAACCGGTCTTAGCAAATCAGTTTTCTGTAAGTTTTATTCATTTTGTCTGATCAGGAAGATACTTTGTTGTTATGTTTTAAGCATTTTAAAATCCTAGTGGTCTAACACTCTGATTGTATCCCTTTAAAATTGGAAGTTCAATGTACAATGATACTAGAACTTAATGTCAGTAAAGCAATCTGATGTTTATTCACATTGTGATGACCAAAAGTTATCCACTTTTTTTCTCTCTCTAGTTCAGTAAATTGATTTATTTATCACACATGAACGTCATAGTTAATATGCAGGCAGTGATATCATTGTTGATAAGATGTGTTGTGAGTGACAGCTATGTGCGTCTCTTTTCTTCTTTACCTTTCACACTACTTTTGATTTATTTTTTCTTTTGGATACTTTTTCCTTGAACTTTTTTCAAAAATATATCCTGCTTCTTCATGCTGGAAAAGAGCAGCATTGAATCATTAGTCAAACCAATTTTCTTTGTATCATAGGTGGTTATGTTTCTCATTTGAGTACAATACTTGTGTAGAAAACCACTATGCCTTCAAGCATAAGCTATCAGGGAAAAGTTTGATCACTGTTTTTATATCTGAAATCTCTCCTCACATAAAAGCCCTTAAGGCTTAAAATGTGGACAAAAGCAAGTGCATAACTACCTGATGCTAATGCTAAACGGTCAGTTTCAATCTGTACTAAATATAATTAGAAGAATTTGGGTTGTAACAATAAGATACTAGACCATTTAGGTTAACCTTGATTTTTCATCATGTCAATTAACCTTTAACCTTAAATTCATGCTTTTCTCTTTGCCAACTGTCTTTTGACATTTGTTGTGTGTGCTAATATGCTCCATTCCTTTTCAAAAGAAGTATGTTAACAAGGACAACTTTGAGAGTATTTTGCCTAAGTTGTAACTTTATGTATGTGTGTGTATTTGTAGGTATGTATGTGTACACACACACACGTGTATGTGTGTGTGGATATTTTTGGTTATTTACAAAAATCCTGACTTGTGTGTTATAACATTATAAAGAATGAATTAGTCCAAAGTTAAACATGTTCATAAAAAAACATAATACAACATTGTTTAACTACTGGATTGGTAACTATTGTCTCAGGTTTTTGTTTCTCGTCCAAGTGGTGAAAAATATTCTAGTGTACTTTGTCCAGTGAAGCCAGATATATTAAAGTAAATCTTTATAGATTGCCTTGTAATTTTAAAGTTACTAATTTATCTTTTTTAATGGAAAACTTGAATTCTTTGAACTTATTTAAAATAATTTGTGGTGAACTTCATTCAGACAAAATCCAGTGTCAGGAATTGAATCATGGGATTGGAATTTGAGTGGGAACAGTTCCACATATCATGCATTATATCCAAGAGCTTGGACAGTATATGAGGGTAAGCTAGGCTAATTGGCATAATTCCAAGTTTCAACTACATTATGATATGTTTAGTACACTCTATCTCTTGCATTGATCACCTCTTCGGTTCAAATACAGAACCTGACCCTGCTCTGAGAATTGTTTGTCGTCAGATTTCACCTGTTATACCCCATAATTACAAGGAAAGTAGCTTCCCTGTATCAGTTTTCACTTTCACGGTAAGCAAGGGCCACTCCAACATAACTTTTCGTTAGTTTTAGTTTTTTTTTTTTTTTTTTTTTTTTTGCATATAAAGTAAATAATAAACTATCAATTTTATTTTATGCAGCTGAAAAATTTTGGTAACATGACAGCAGATGTCACCTTGCTTTTCACATGGGCAGTAAGTGAAACTTTTTTGTTGGCTGTTCCTGTTACAGTCTGTTAGTTTTTACTTTTTAATCCTCTATTCTCTTGTTGAGGCACTGAGTGCCAACAATATGTTTGTGTTTCCAGAATTCTGTTGGAGGACTTTCTGAATTTACTGGTGACCACTTTAATTCAAAAATAATGTAAGAAAATTTAATTGGTTTGCCTTCTTTATGCAGATGTACCCATTTTGTTGCTCTCTCTCTCTCTCTCTCTTCCTCCCCCCCCCTGCAGAAAAAAAAATGCCTATAGTTTATTCTAAGATTCAAGGTACATGTTATATCTTGCTAGGATGAATGATGGGGTTCATGGTGTGCTTCTACATCACAAGTAAGCCAGCTTGTTACTCTCTTTTTGAGCAAAAGATGTAAAGAAAAACAATTCTTGATTTTATAAAAAATGTAATTGATATATTGCATATACAGGACTGCAAATGAGAGATCTCCAGTTACCTTTGCTATTGCAGCAGAAGAGACTGAAAACGTTCACATTTCAGTATGTCCTGTCTTTGTTATATCTGGTGCTTACAATGGTATCTCGGGAAAAGATATGTGGCATGAAGTTAAACAGGTTAGGGACCTGCTTGCATATTTAATACTGTATTTCGTTGAAAGATCCTTGTTTAATGTTTTCTTCATTCTTTCATTCTGTTTTCTCACAGACAAGCTAATCATTGTTCTGTAAGCATTTTATAAAGCAACTACTTGGAGTTTCCTTTATTTTCTTTTAGGTGTCTGAATTCTTTTTTCTTCAATTATGACAATTAGCAGCAATACTTGAGTCCCTTTGAACATCACTCTTTCAGAGTATTGCAAGCTTAAAGAATCATACTTCTTGGACCTTATTCATTAATTTCTCATGCCTCCTACTCATTCATAGGAAGAGAAGTGCTGCATGATCTCAAGTGAGGCGTGATCTAGGCTGAATCAATGCCATTTACCGGAAAAATTTTGGCCACTATATTTTTGCAAATTTTTGGTTTCCTTCTCACTGATGTGGTTACTAAGATGTTGCCACATGCCAATTTTTTATTGGACCACATCAGCTAGAGGGACCAAAACAAAAGATATGCATAAAAGTAGGGACCAAAACACAAAAAAGGTTTGGAGGGACTAAAACCAAAAGTTTGCTAAAATAGAGACTAAGAACATACTTAAGCCTTTGTTATATTATTACTGCTAATTCATGGTTTAACCTCTATTAGTGGATGCTTTAAGATAGGGATGGTTGAGTGGATTAAATGAAGATAATGCTGATGCAAATAGTAATTCTCTTTTCTGCTTGGTTTGCTCTTTTCCTGGATTCATAGTGAGAATGGGATTTCTGTGTGCTTTGTTCCCTTAAGAAACATTAATGATGAAATTTAAAAAACTTCTTTTAGTTGGTGACTTGATGATGTTCATTCTTTTCCCTGTCCTAAAGTACTGTAGCCACTGTTTTAATTTTATAACTCTGTATGTTAGAGGATAGTAAACTTCCTTTCATCCATATGCTTGCCATGTTATATTTCACTAAACTGCATTAGGGTACCTTTTTCGTTTTCAGCATGGGTCGTTTGACCATTTGAGTTTTGCTAAAACCCCCGTGCCTTCAGAACCGGGATCATCTATCGGAGCAGCTATTGCAGCAACCGTGAATATTCCTTCTGATGCTGAGCGTATTGTGACATTTTCATTGGCGTGGGACTGCCCTGAAGTCAAGTTTCCTTGGGGAAGGACATATTACAGGTTGGTGGTAGAAAGCCTGTATGAGAATATTTCTTGTTCAAAGAGTACACATTGCTAATAGAACTTGATTAGCAGGCGTTACACTAAATTCTATGGTACTAATGGAAATGCTGCTGCAGATATTGCACATGATGCTATTATTGGTAATATTGTTTGCTGAACTACTTTAAATTGTGTTTGTAAAGTGGGAATTGTGTCTAAATTTGATATCAATCACAACTACATCCACAGATAAATTTTTGGAAAGCAAGACTATGGATATCATTTTTCTTGATGTCATTTTTTGATGAGGTTCCCACGTTACACTTGTTGACAAAAAATCATGCAGAGGCATGACTCATTCATGATTTTTAATACCATTAATAAATGACTTTTTTCAAACTTTTATGAAATTGTGACTTAGAGCATTGCCAATGGGAGACCCAGATTGAAGATTGGCAAAGACCGATACTTGAGGACAAGAGACTTCCTGAATGGTAATTTTCATTTCTTTATTCACTGCCTATTCCTACAGTCAAATTCTGAAGTTTTCAGATTTCTGTGCAGGTATCCAACTACCCTTTTGAATGAACTTTACTATTTGAATTCTGGGGGGACAATTTGGACAGGTATTTTTGGCACTTGAAATTTTGGATTTTATCTGCTAATAAGTATTAGTTTTTTTCCTTTCAAAATCTTGCTATCCTTGCATACATGATAGTGTGTTACCATCATCAAGTTGTTAATTTTTCTCCTTTGCAGATGGTTCACCTCCTGTGCATAGTTTAGTTGGCCTTGGAGAAAGAAAATTTTCCTTGGATGGATTTATATCTAATTTAGAGAATGAAAATCATTTATCACAACAAAAGGGTACTGCTATCAGCATTCTTGAAATGTTTAGGTCAGTAGTTGAGCAAATAGACTCTCCACCGGCATCAAGGTCTGCATATGGAGTAAATCTGCTCCAAGAAGGGGAAGAAAACATTGGTCAGTTTCTTTATCTTGAAGGCATTGAGTATCAAATGTGGAATACCTATGATGTCCATTTTTACTCATCTTTTTCACTAGTCATGCTATTTCCAAAACTTGAACTCAGCATCCAAAGAGACTTTGCTGCAGCAGTACTGATGCATGACCCTAGTAAGATGAAACTTCTACATGATGGCCAGTGGGTACGAAGAAAGGTTCTTGGTGCTGTTCCTCATGATATTGGAACCAATGATCCATGGTTTGAAGTAAATGGCTATAATCTTTATAACACAGATAGGTGGAAAGACTTGAATACAAAATTTGTTCTCCAGATTTACAGGGATGTAGTTGTCACTGGTGACAAGAAGTTTGCACAAGCTGTTTGGCCCTCTGTTTATATTGCTATTGCTTATATGGACCAATTTGACAAGGATGGTGATGGAATGATTGAGAATGAAGGCTTCCCTGATCAAACTTATGACACATGGTCTGTGTCTGGTGTGAGTGCATATAGTGGTGGACTGTGGGTGGCAGCACTTCAGGCAGCATCAGCCCTGGCACGTGAAGTGGGTGACAAGGGTTCTGAAGATTATTTTTGGCTGAAGTTTCAAAAAGCAAAAGCTGTATATGAAAAATTATGGAATGGTTCTTACTTCAATTACGATAGCAGTGGTGGAAGTTCGAGTTCATCGATTCAAGCTGATCAATTAGCTGGACAATGGTCAGTATCCTTCTGTCTTTCAGAAACTATATTGTATTTGTATGCCTCATTTACATTAGTGGCACTTAGAAGTAGCTTTATGGTTGTCATCATGGCTGGAGTACTAGTATGGTGCAGTGATCCAATAAAACCAATTACATGACTAAATTTTGTGCATGCATTTTCATTGTTTGACATGGTTCATTGTGTGATATAAAGTGGGTGTAGAAAAATATGATATCATGGGATGTATTGTGGATATGGCTCTAGAGATCTTTGATGGCTGGGAAAATGTGATTCATTTTTTCAATGTACAAGGTCTAATTCAATTGAAACAAGTTATTGGCTCTGTGATCTTGACTTGTATGTGCACATGCAGCTACATGAGAGGGTAGCTTTCGTTAAGCAACCTCACCTAGCAGGAAAAGATTTTGGCTGTTGTCATATACAAGCATAGCTTCTGAAATTAAACTATGAGAAGACATGCAAGCATTTAAACAACAACAACAACAATCAAGCCTTATCTTGCTGGGTGAGGTCGGCTACATAGATCATGACGCCATTGAGCTGAGTCAAAAATTAAATTTTTACAAAATTAGTTCTCTATACAATTTGAACTTTGGCTTTATCCTCAATTATTGCACATGTAGCTTCCTCTTTGCTAATATTTAAAATGGAATTGGAACTTCTTATTTCATATTTTGCAGGTATGCTAGAGCATGTGGTCTTTTGCCAATTGTTGAAGAAAAGAAAAGTAGAAATGCGCTCCAAATGGTTTACAATAATAATGTTATGAAAGTAAAGGATGGGAGGCGTGGTGCTGTAAATGGAATGTTACCTGATGGAAAAGTTGACATGTCATCAATGCAATCACGAGAAATATGGTCAGGAGTCACATATGCCTTAGCTGCAACAATGATCCAGGAAAATATGATTGCTTTGGCATTTCAAACTGCTGGTGGAGTATATGAAGCTGCATGGTCCTACTATGGACTCGGGTATAGTATACTGTTCTCTAATGGTACTTGTTGAAAGTGAAAGACTAAAGTTTATATCAAGTTGCATCTCTTCTACTGTGAGTGGATTTGTCTGACAAGATTAGACTTTCCTTTTTTTCTTTTCCAAACAAATTTCTTGGATGTGTTAGAAACTGATTGAATAGAAGCTAATCCAAAGTGGACCTCAATCTCTACCTTGAAGTATTTCATACGACTGAATATTGTTGCTCTTACATTCTGCCATGGCAAGGGGTTATCAAATGAAGAAACTCATTACTACTATGGATTTGCGAGAAGCTAAACTAGTAGAAAATAGCACGTTCGATTTTAATGTGAACATAATTTTTTGGCTTTGAAATTGTTAATAATAGAAACTGTAAAAGCTTGTTAAGCCTTACCTTTTGCTGCTGTTCTCTTTCCTTCCTTCCCATACCTCTTTAGGTGATTTTTGTCTGGTAAATTTCATGATTTCTATTTCATCTTTCAATTCTTTTTGAAAATGTCAAATTCACTAGCACTGATAACGGTACATGCTGCAACTTGTTCCTGTGTTCTTGTCTGACATATAGTCGTGCGCTTGTTAATAACAATGAAAAATATGCCATGATGATTATTGGTCACAACGTGCTAGTGTGTTTAAGGTAATCGTGTCCTCTGCAAATTATCTTTTGAATGAAGCGTGGTCCTATTTTCATATTGAAGCATGGGATCCTTCGCTTTGCTGTTTTGAATTGCTGGGTAGCACCTAGCACGTGCCAAATGTATAATGGCTAAACTATTAAGAACTTGTGTGTTTTCAGTGATAGCTTGTTCATTAGAACCTTTAATACTTTATAGACACGTATCTGTTTAATGTATTTTTTTTTTAGTAGTTAATAAAGCTTCTTCTACTTGATCAACAGTTATTCTTTCCAAACTCCTGAAGCATGGTCCACTAACGATGAATATAGATCTTTATGCTACATGCGGCCTTTAGCCATATGGGCAATGCAATGGGAATTATCAAGAGCAAAGCACACTCCACATGAGAGAAAATCAGATATAAAAGAAGATATTTTGTCTAGATGTCATGATGGTTTCTTGAAAGTTGCGCACCTTCTAAAGGTGAAGGAGGAGACAGCTTCTAGAAGTCTATTCCAGGTTATATATGATTTTACTTGCAAGAGGCTGTGGGTATAGACATGCCTATTGCAATTTATATTTCACATTCTATGACTATAATTTTGCGAGACCTTGTTGATTCTGAATGGTCCCAATTACTTGATGAGCTTTATCATCTTTCAGCAATAAATCATCTCGTTTTCAGAATATGAGAAAAATAAGGTTCTATTGTTAAAATGGCAGAACATTTATACTTGTTGCTTCTTTTAATGGACTGAGCTCCCAAATCTACTTATTAACATAGGTACACGAGATTCTTGTGGCTTTCATTTTGCCAAATTCGCATTCTTGTACAAATAGTAACTAGGAAGTAAACAGGATCTCCACACATTTGCTAAATTAGGTGTAAATTCACGATGCGTGAGAGCTTCAACAAAAAAATCATTTGTGAATGAATTTGTTTGAGCTTTAATATATCGTATATTTGACTAAGAATGACTTAAATAATATCAAAAGTAACACTCTTGTGGAAGAAACTAAATTCCATTTCTAATTTGGAAATATAATGTTTCTAGTTTTGTGATTATTTTAAATAAACCACTAATATTCAATTGTATGTAAATGATATGATTTCCAAACCCACTGTAACATATTAAAATTAAAAAACCAATACCAAGGAATTATTCATTTAATTCGTACCACAAAATAAGAACAAACATATCATCATCATTCTTTTTGCATATTTAATTTTTTTGAAGCACACACAATCAAGTTGTACTAAATCTCTACTTATGAACTACGTGGAGAAAAGAAAATTTGTAACAAGATAATGATTGTAGCACTTGGCATTGGTAGTTGTAAAATAGAGAGGGCAATTCAGGAATAGCCTTTTCATGATTCTCAATATTAAAATTACTTTAAGCATGTTCCCTACATAAATATTTTGAAATATAAATATAATAAATCTTGAACATGATGGACATAATTTTAATGAGCTCTGAACTTTCCATCATCATTAAATATTTAAATATTAATATTTATAACTAGAGTTCTGCCACTATAACGAGACTTTTTCATTATAAAATTTTGTTACCATTATGCAACAAGGCATGTTTCAACATATTTAATTTTAAAAGTTTATTGCTTCATTTGTATTTTAATAATTTTTTATTTATTTCATTTATATGTTACTTAATCTTTCATATCCTAGTCTTTTCAGCTTTTTATATTTTTATAAATATTTAAAAAAAAAAATTGTAAAATACAATAATTTTTAATAAAGTATGAAATTCTTATTGTAAATATTAAATAGATGACATAAAAATATATATTAACATAATACTCAATGTTATAATAAAATTATTTATTTGGATCACATTTTGTTATAAATAAATATTTTACGTAATAAAAAGTATTTTCACTACAATGCTACATTTTTATTCTTTTTTTAATTTTATAAATTGAGTTTTACTTTAGATGCATGGCTGGTATAAAGATCTTTGTATTATCAAACAATTAGAATGTATTATATATCTAATTATATATATATATATATATATATATATATATATATGTAAATTATTCCAAAAATAAATAATTCTTGTTAATATAAGCACAGTTTGAGTAAATTTTTTAAAAATTATAAGAGAAAAATACTATAAAAATAAATAATTTTTTTCATAAATTAACAACAATTTATGTTTTTCTATTTTTTGTGAAAATTTATAATTTAACTTCTAAAAAATTTGAAAAGATGAATTAATTTTAACTTGGAGAGAAGTTTTATTTATTTTTTATTATAAAGAATTCTTTAAAAATTTATCCAAAGGCATAATAATTTATAATTGGGTGAGAGTGTGAAAATTCCATTTATTTAAATAAAATTTTTATAAATTTATTACTTCGTTGATGTTTTCATAAATTCATTTATGTCGTTTATATGTTTCATAATTTATTTTATGAAATAAAAAAATTAAAATTAAGATTAATATTTAAATAAATATTTCATGCAAGAGATATGACATGGTTTAATAAGAAAAATTTAATTTCAAAATATCTAAATAATGATATTGTCATATAGAAAAAATAAAACTAAAAAAATAAAAATACAATAATGATATTGTCTCTATCTCTATGTACACGTAGGAATTACTTAGCCAATTATGACGTCTTATACTTTTGTATGTTATTCTTTTATTTTAAAAATTAAAACTTTTTATTTTTATTGTTATAAGTTTACATGATATTCTTTTATTCTAGAATGAGAGCGAGTAATTTTTTAATTTTCTATATTACGACATGGATAATAGTCTATTTTTAATATAAAATAAAAAATTTTAATAAATATTTCTGCTCTTAAAAGAATAACTTTACTATCTATAATAGTTATATTTGACTCAAATAAAATTATTTTTAAAAAAATACTTATAATTTAAATAAAAATATATATTTTCAAGCTCCTTGCATGTATGTATATAAAATGTATGTCGCTAAATTTAAATTATAAATAAAAACACACACACACTACCTTTTAATTAAAAATAATGAATATATTATATAATTCACATAGTTATTTTAAGTAAAAACGTAAAAATGTTATAATTATGTGACACAATTTTTTGCATATTTAAATTTAAATTTTTAATTCAATATTGATTTGATTTAAATTTAAAAGTTTCATAATTTATTTATTAATTTAAAAATGTTTATATCTTTAATTTGCTCATATTTAATACATTAGATGTTAATCATTATAATAAAAGTATTTATTATTTAAAATTTTTTAAAACTCATACGATATACTTTTATTCTTCATGCAAAAATATATTTTAATTTAATAATATTTTTATAGAAAATAAAAAATTCACTAATATACAATCTATCTGTATCTATATTTATAACATTAAATTTTTAATATATGATTTTTTGAAATCTTTATTAAAATTATTTATGACAAAATAAAACATTCATACAATACATGAGCTAGCAATTACTATTTACAAATCATCGTTAAAATAAATTTTTACATTTAAAAGTAAAGTAAACTACTCTAACATCTCTTTTATTTTATGTTTTTTACTAAAAAAAAAATTCTATATTTTTAACATACATACAAAACTTATTTTTTTGAAAATATATTATAGTTTAATCTAATTTTAATGTTTCATTTTACATAATTGTTAGTTAATATATTAAGGAGTTGTTTGGGAAGAGAATTTTAAAGAGAAAAAGAGAGCATAAATTTATATTTTAAATAAATATATTTAAAATTAATATTTTTTAAATAAAAAAATATAAATTAATATATTAACAAAAATTTAATATATTAGTAATATATTTATCATTATAAATAATATATAAATTTTTTTATTTGAAATTAAGAAAATATGTCCTCCCCTTATTTCCTCATTAGAAACCTCCTCCCAAACATATTATACTTTGAATTTAATCTCATTATATATAATTTGTTACTTTTTAAAATTAGTACATAGATCTTATTTATAATTTAGAGTGATAAATTATTTTTATATAAAAATTAATTAAAATTGTTTAAAATACTTATTATTATTGACGAGTGTTCTTTAAAAAGTATTTTAAAATACTTATAAAATCATTTGAGAACGTGTAAATATTTTTGTAAATATTTTGATTATTTTAAAGGTATGAAATTAATTAAATTTGTTTTTTAATATTTCTTTATATTCATAATTTTTGTATTATTTAAGTATTTAATAATTTTAAAATTTCATTATGAGTGGCTGAGATTTTGTGTAATATATTTTTAAAATAGTAGAGATTTTGTATAGATTTTAAAAATAGAGAAGATATATTGTAAATAGCACGAGAGCTTTTGAGTAATTAACTCTAGTTATATTCAATACCTTAAAATAAATTTTACTTATTTTTTAAATGAGCAGTTAAGATTAATCTGAATTAAAATGGAATTTAATAAATTGTTGACACAAATATTATTAAGTTAAATTTTCAAGATAAAAATAAAAAATATATTATATGAATATTTTTAATTTAATAATTCTTAAAAAAATATTTACTTATTAATAATAAATATTTTATTATATTAACAAGAATAAATTAAAAATTTAAATATTAAAAATAAATTATAAAAAATTAAATTAAGATTAAATTAAAAATCTTTTTTTTTTAAATTATTTAACGTAAATTTAAAATATTATTATTTAATTATTAAGATTTATAATTTATATACCGAAGTAGATTTAGCCCGTAGGAACGCAGAAGTGATCATTCACTTATTATTATCCGTGGCATGAAAATGCTAGGAATTAATTGAATAATTTGACAACAATTTATTTTGCGTGATAAAGTAGAAGAGTGGCACAAGATGAATTAAATTTCATTGAATTATGTGATGATATGAAGATGTGCCTTTTGATTGCTTGGTTAGGTTATATATTATTTCCCCATGTCCTTAAACTTAAATTAAAACCGTACAAGAAATGCGAATGGGGAAGTTGTTATTAACCGAAGTGATATTTGTCATAATGGGAGTGCTGGGAAAGGTAAAAAGCAATAGAGGGATGTAACGTAGGAGGTAGCAATAAGGAAGGAGAAAGGTGCAATCGCATATCGCAATCGCAACAGCAACAGCAACAGCAACAGCATCCGCATCGAGGAGAGAGTGCAGTTGGTGTGGGGATTTAATTTCAGTTTGGTTAGGAGTCCAGTCTAGTCCCCTACGAATCCAATCCAAATCAAATCAAATCGGTGGCCGGAAACCTAAGTTGGTTGAGATCCGATGGAGGCAATCGAAGAATTGGTTCAGCTCTCCGATTCTATGCGCCAAGCTGCCGCCGTTCTCGCCGACGAAGATGTCGACAACTACAAGCGCCCTTCCACTTTTCTCAATGTCGTTGCGCTCGGCAATGTCGTAAGTTTTTCTTCTACATTTCTGCAACTAAGATAGATAGATAGCACACGCGATGAGGTAACTGTGTCATGCACCCTCTCTCTCTCTCTCTCTATATATATATATATATATATATATATTACCTATGTGTATATGTTGGATCCGTTACGAATAGACTTGCAATGGTGGATCAGGGTGCTGGAAAATCTGCTTCGTTGAATAGCCTGATTGGACATCCCGTTTTGGTATTGCCTATTTGCATTTTCTTCCTTGGTTATTTCCTCTTCAATCCAGTCTTTATTTGGCGACTAAATCCGTCGTGAACTGCAGCCAACCGGGGAAAATG